CTGTCTTTAATCCCTGCACCACCAGGGAGGCCCCTATTTTAACATTTCTGAAGTCAGGATGCTTATTAGGACATGTAAGTACAATTGTCATATTTTTATATATTTAGTTGCCATTAATTTCAACAGTTGCACCCTATAATCTGGATTTCATAAGTCCTAAGGGTAAGGTGATTGTGAAAAGAAACTAGGGGTTTCTCCCAGATGAAAATACAGCCTTGGAAATAAAGAATCTGTATCGCTAAAGTAGGGGAAGCCAAGGAGAATACAGTAAGTTTTGAATAACTAGACTTTAAACTTATCAGTGTAACTGAAATGCAAATGAAATAACAATATTAAAGTTGTAGTGACAGCACAGGTCTTCTCTCTCTTACTTTCAGTGGTTTCTGTGCTGACTCACATTTCCACTCTGCCCCTTCACTGACTGGGAGGAGTTCACCATTTTGAAGACAAGTCACCTGAAAAAGATTCTACATTCTAAATACCAAACAATTCTGCAGTAACAGGAAGAGAGCTGCTGCTTCTCCAAACCTCCTGCCTGCCACTGCCTCCAGTTCAGTTATAGTAACTTTTCCCAGGGAGTAGATTAGCTGGTGAATGATGTTTAGCACTGGAGCAAGGTAGATCTGACCTCAGTCCGCTCCATCTCAGAACCTCAATGTTTGAATATTCAGCTCAGGGTAGACTTGGTGGAATGATAATTATTGAAAGAATGCGATATGGAGATTTCCACTTGACAATCACTACTTTGAATTCTCAAAGCCTCTTATTTCCTCTTAAAGAAATAGTAGAATGGGGCTTCCCCTAGTGGCACAGCGGTTGAGCGCTGCTGCAGCACAGGTTAGATCCCGGGCAACTCACGAGGGTCCCACATGGCGCCGTAGACCTGTCCTGTCTTGCCTGCTGCTCCCCTCAGCAGTGTATTTCGTCAGTCTGCCTGTTCTGTTCCCCACTCTGGCTCTGGTGAATTCTCTCACCCTCCAGCGCTTCTGACTGCACCCAGTTTGTATAAATAAATAAATAAATCTTTAAAAAAAAAAAGAAATAGTAGAATGTTTAGGAAACTAAGAGTTATTGGGTGGACTGCTTCAGCTGAGAATCACACATCTGTGTGAAAAGTCTCTAGTATGTTAGTTCTTGCTTTTTAAGAAACAATAGTGAGCCCTAACTATCTGTTAAAGTTGTAAAACTCTTTTCCAAACTTTAAGTTCACTTCTGCAATGCACTGTGGTAAGCGCAGGGAAAAGTGGGAGGAGGAGAGGAAGGAGCAAAGGGGACATGCTGTAATCTCTTTCACTAGGATACCAATGTCCTGGAGAAAGGAAACAGCACACAATTCTGAAAATATTTTAGATTGTTGCCCTGTCTTCTACACATTCATGCGTCTGACTGGTTAAAAAGCAAATTTAAACTGAGTAGCTTTTAAAGATCTTATTGTTTTTATTCAGTTTACTCAGTGGGCAGCATCCAATCTAGCAGATAGAAAGGATCTCCAAAGAACTGCACAAAGGGAAAGTTTTTTTTTTTAAGATTTATTATTATTTTTTTTAACACATGCAAGAACTGGGTATAGGCCAGAGATGTGGTATATGTGGGGTGAGAGGATTCACCAGAGACAGAGTGGGGAGCAGAACAGGCAGATGTACTGAAATACACTGCTGAGGGGAGCAGCGGGCGAGACAGGTGAGGTCTGCTGAGCCATGTGGGTTAGCCTCCTGGGTGGGGTGGGGGGGGTTGATTGAACACAGGCCACAGTGGCTGAAGATAGCTTGATAGCGCTGAGAGTTTAACCCCTGTACCACCAGGGAGGCCCCAAAGTGAGAGATTTTTATACGCAGAAAGGAGCTGGAAAAAGGAAGTTATTCTAGGAAAAACTGGATTGATTAGGCAAGATTCCTTTTCCTGTAGGGAATGGTGGGGTTTATCAGGAAGATTAAATGACTGATACTCATCAACTAGTTCCTGACTGACTGGCTTAAGATTCCATTTCTGGGAGAGTCAGAGTAAGTCTCAGTTCTGTGAAATGGGGTTTGTATAAGTGACTCTGATGGAGTTTTGTGGTGTTGCGGGGTCCTTGGGTTCACTCTGGGAAAGGTTTCACCAGACCTCTGGTTTCGGCAACACACGGCGAGTTCCCTAGGCGCGTTTCTCCATGAGACAGAGATGTTAGTTATATTTAAAGGGCAGGTTTATTAGAGAAAGGGACAGGGACAGGGGCAGGTTTTGCTAAGAGAGGCCTGCATAGTTGCAGGTGGGGGCCTTGAGGAGAGCTGCCTCCGCTGAGGGAGGTCAGTGAAGTCCTGGCAGGACATGGCCAGGCAAGAGGCTGCTGCCCTGCAGGGGGAGAGAGTTGGTTAAGAGGCACCTGCATAGTCACAGGTGGGCAGTGGGAGTGCTGCCCGGTACCTGTGCAGAGACTGCACTGATATAGTCCCCTTCTGTTTGGGAGGGGTCACTCCTCTGTGAAGTGGCCCATTTGTTGATAACTGTGTAAAACCAGGAAGGGACCAGAGATTCCAGGGTGGGCCCAATCTCCATATCTTTACCCTCAGGTCTGTGCTCCGCACCCTGTAGCATCTGATCCTGCTCGGGTCTCCTGCCTGGTGGTAAGGCACTGGTGCCTGCGGGTCACGACCCCTACCGATGGGTTAATGGTCCTGTTATTCTCTCCATCTCCACCTCCTTGTCAATCAGGTTCTGGTCTTGGGGCACCTCCTTTCCAGTCTTTCTATTTTTTTTTTTTAAGATTTATTTATTTACACAAGCACTGGGTACAGTCAGAAGCGCGGGAGGGTGAGAGAATTCACCAGAGCCAGAGCTGGAGCAGGAAACAGTACAGGCAGACTGACGATACACTACTGAGCGGAGCAGCGGTCGGCAGGGGAGATCTGTTGCGCCATGTGGGACCCTCACCCAGTGGCCAAATCGGCGCTGCAGAGGCTGCGGGCAGCTTCGCAATCCAGCGCTTAACCGCTGCGCCATCGGGGAGGTCCTCGGTCTTTCCATTCTTGTATTCCATGAACTCCATTTTTGGTTTGTTTTGTTTTTAACAGGTTCTGAGAGAATAAAGATGAATTCCTCATAACGCGGGTGACAACCAGGTAGAAAAGATGGGCTTTCAATATGACTGTGGGTAGTTACATCTTTGACTTATTCATCAGCTTTTATTTTTAGAAAGCCCTTCACCATTCTGAGATATGTTGACCTCAAATAAAAGCAATTAGTTATTTAGACAACAAACAGGGCTTATTTGGAAACAAAACAGAGGACAGACTGGAGTGTGTGTGTGTGTGTGTGTGTGTGTGTGTGTGTGTGTGTGTGGTTAGCCAGGTGGCCATCTTCCATCCAGCTGAGACTAGCTCCCTATGTTAGTGTGTGTGTGTGTGTGTGTGTGTGTGTGTGTGTGTGTGTGTGTGGTTAGCCAGGTGGCCATCCTCCATCCAGCTGAGACTAGCTCCCTATGTTACCTCTTCAGTTTCTACCAGACGGGGTAACAGTGGGGGATGCAAGGCATTTTGAATTTTATAGTTTGCTGATCTGCACAAGGCTGAGTGCTCTTTCCCTACCTCATTTAAATAGGGGTCTGAATGTCAATGTTCACAGATCAGATATTCATCTATAATATTTTGTATTGTTTTATGTTAGATTTACTTAACACTCCACCCTTAAATTCCAATCATACTTTATTTTAGTGTATGTTTTATTAAGGAATCTAACCAAAATTGCTAACTGTTCCAATATCATTTTAAAAATAAAGTTTTACCTTGATTTGAAATGTCCCTTTTATCGAATAATAAATTATGCATTGAGTCTGATTCTAGCCCTTTTACTCAGCTTCCGATGGTTTTTCTGGGGAGTAGTCATGCAGGAAATGACCTGCCCTGGAGTGTTACTGCCCAGCTGATGAATTGTTTGGTTAAAAGGGTTTTATTGCAACAATCAGTTTGAAAACATAAGAGAACGATGTTGTTGGCCTTCTTAATACAATTTGGGGTTGCGATGACCAATCTTTTAATCATTTTTTTAAGCATTACTAACGGGATGTGCAAACCCCACCCAGTGCAAGGCTTTGTTCTAAGTGACATTCTGCAGAACTCCCACAGGTCGCCGCTGGCCCTCCGAGTGGCAAGTCCTAGGGGTCCCAGCTAATTTAAGCCATGAAGATGTGCGAGGCAGAGGCAGGAGAGGAAGGAGGCTTCGAGAAGAAATATGTCCACACTGCCTCCGTTTCTCTGTGCGAGGCGGCATGTATGAAGGGCTCTGCTAATCACGCTCAGTAAGACTTACTTACAGCATGATTCTTCCCACCCCTACCCGCCTCAGTCTCCCAGGAGTGCAGGTAGAGGTCCTCCCCGCCCCATCGCCGCATTCTAACCAGGGATGCGAGAGTTAAATATATTTCTCATTTTTTAAAAAAAGATTTATTCATTTATTTATACAAGCACTGGGTACAGTCAGAAGCGCGGGAGGGCGAGAGGATTCACCAGAGCCAGAGCAGGCAGAAGGACCGAAGTACACTGCTGAGGGGAGCAGCGGGCGGCAGGAGAGGTCTGCGCGCCATGTGGGACCCTCACCCGGCGGCCGGGGATCGAACCGGCGCTGCAGAGGCTGCGGGCAGCTTCGCAGCCCAGCGCTCAGCCTCTGCGCCACCAGGGGAGGCCCCCTATATTTTTCACAGTGCGGACTGGGTTGCCAAAGAAGCGTGGGAAGAGCGGACCTAGGAGACCGCAGGCCCAGGGGGCTCTCGGCCCGCCGGGGGACAGCACGTCGCACAACAGGAAGCGGGGAGACTCGAACGTCTCCTAACTTTGAGGTCAGCATCGCGCCTGCGGCCTGCTTTACGGCTTTCGGCACGTAGCTTTGCGGCACTTCTCCCCTTGAAACCTGACTTACGGCTCTTCCTCCTGGGCCCTCCGCCCCGCCTCCGGGCGCGCTCTCGAGTCGGACCTTCTTCCCATGATGCTCGAGCACCGCCTTCCCAGCGCCCTTTGCGCGCGGGCTGACACTCGCGGCCGCCGGCGCTCGCCCTCCATCGGCGCTCCCTGTGCACGGCGCGCGGCCCAGGCGCGTGAGTGGGGTGGGCGGACGCTCGGCTGCGGTGGCTCCGGCCGGGCCTTGTGGAGCGTGGGGCGGCCTATTCTGGATGGAACGCGGGGGGCGGCCACTGATCTCGTCTGGCGGCTCCCGGCTTGATGCTGAGCCCGGGGCCTGCACTCGGGAGCTCGCACCGTGGGGGGCCTGGGCTGGGCTGGGCTGGGCAGGGTAGGGGGACAGGACCCTCGCCCGGGACTCGGGGGACACTCCCCGGGCCCCGCGGAGGGGAGGGCGGTGTATTGTTACCTGCTCCTGCGCGAGCCGGCTGCTGCTTTTTGATAGGGGTAAAGGGTGTTGACATTTGCTTCAGGAGCGAATGGGGTGGGAGGGTGTGGCTGAGGCTGGGACGGGCTTGCCCGCGTGGAAAGGAATTTGAGTGTCCACCCGTTCCAGACCTTTCAAAAGTAAGGTGCATTGCTTGTATAAATAAATACATCTTAAAAAAAAATAGAAAAGACTCAACAGAGTGAAATAGCAACCCACAAAATATTAAAAAAACCAAAAAACCAAAAGTAAGGTGCAGCCCATACACGATTACATTCACCCTTTCACATGGTGCAACAAAATCATTTTTAGTATGTTCACAAGGTTGTGCGACCATCAGCAGGATCTAATAATCGCAGGATATTTTTTATCACCTAAACAAACAAAACCAACCCTAACTCATTGGAAGACACTTAGCATTTACTCCTACGCCCAGCTCGCCTCATCTTTGTGTCTTTATGAATTTGCTTAGTCTAGATCTCTCACATTAGTGGAATCAAACTATATTTTTCCTTTTGTCTGGCTTAGCACAGTGTTTTCAAGGTTCATGCCTGTATCTGTGGGAGCAATTGGAAATGACGCCCCCACCCACTCGTCTCAGATGGCGAAGTGTGGATTACAGAGTGATGTGTGTTTTGACATATGACTAAAACTTTCTGGGAATATAGGATTACTACTGCTTAGAGTGTAGTGAGGTGTGTAAAATTTTGAAGAGATGACATTTTGAGATCTATCTAGTTCTTTTTACTTAAGATAGATTTTTTCCTATCGTAATTTTTTCCTTTTTGTAATCGTGTAGGGGCAGTAAATAAATTTTTTTCAAAGGATTACAAATATTATGGCAGCATGTACATGATGAAAATAACAGAACCTTGCTATCTTACACTAATCATCCTTTCAGGCTATTCTTGAGCCTTACTTTAGAACCTCGCCTGTCACTGGGTCGTCCATTCTCAGTTGCCTCCTGTAATACCTGGCCAGAGTCCATCCTTTTCCTACATTTTCATTGTCTTAATTGAGCCTTTATCATTATTGATTCCTACTTGATTTCTCCATCAGTTATTTCCTGCTGAGAAGAAACTTTCTGATTGCTTATTTACTTTTTAGAGTTATTTTTGATAAGCAAAGTTACATTTTGTTTTTTGAGTTTGGTCTAAGAAGTCTAGGTTGCCTCTAGGTTGGAAGAATTTATTTCTATATGTGTTCTAGAAATTGTATAGCTTTTTTTTTTTAAAGATTCATTTATTTATGCATATAAGAATGGGGGTATAGGCCAGAGGTGCGGGGGTGGGGGTGGCTGGGTGAGAGGATTTACCAGAGACAGAGTGGGAACAGAACAGGCAGATTGACTGAAATACACTGCTGAGGGGAGCAGCGGGCTAGACAGAAGAGGTCTACTGTGCCATGCGGGTAGCTCCCTGCCTGGGGATAGAAATCTGTTCTGCAGTGGCTGCAGATAGCTTCATAGTGCTGTGCCTTAACCCCTTGTGCCTCCAGGGAGGCCCAGTGTTAGCTTCTTTTTAAAGAACTTTGAGTCCTTTCTAGTTTTTGTGAATAGTATGAAAAATATTTTGTGAAAAATAGTAATTTTTTTCCCCATAGAGGTTTCCAGTTCCAGCATTATTGCTTGAAAATGTCATTATATTGCATTGGTCAATCTTTGTAATTCATATGACTATATGTGTACATATAAACAAATAGTAATAACTGGTGATTAACTTCACTGCTCTTTTCTGTTCTGTTGATCACAGAACATTAAAACTTTCACAGTTTTAATCACTGTAGCTTTATAGTAAGTCTTGAGTCACATAGTGTTTGTTCTTAACTTTGTTGCTTTTCAAGATTGATTTGCAAGGGCCTCCCCGGTGGCGCAGTGGTTGAGCGCTGGGTTGCGAAGCTGCCCGCGGCCTCTGCGGCACCAGTTCGATCCCCGGCTGCTCCACTGCCACCAGAGGAGGGTCCCACATGGCGCGCAGACCTCTCCTGCCGCCCGCTGCTCCCCTCAGCAGTGTACTTTGGTCCTTCTGCCTGCTCTGCTCCCCGCTCTGGCTCTGGTGAATTCTCTCACCCTCCCGCGCTTCTGACTGTACCCAGTGCATGTATAAACAAAACAAACAAACAAACAAATAAATAAATAAGAACAGGCCTCTATTAAAAAAAAAAAAAGATTGATTTGCAAAAGAGTCCAAATCTTTTGCATTTCCAGATAAATATTAGAATGATCTGATATGTTTCTACAAAAATGTCTAATAGCATTATGATTGGGATGCACTGAATCTTTAATTTGGGAAGAATTAACATTATAACAGTATTGTATCTTCACATATATGAACATGGTAAATTTCCTTCTTTATTTCACGCTTTAATTTGTTTTTAGTACTGTGCAGAGGTCTTACGTACCTTTTATTAAATTTATTTCTAAGCATTTTTAAAAGCATTTTAAGATGGAAACATTTGAATTCTTCATATATAATGTGTATTTTTTCTTTTTTTTTGTTTTTGTACGTTTGGTATTTCTAAATGTGATTTTCTTTGTATTTATCTGCTTGCAGTTGGCTGCATGCTTTCATCTATAACTTTATTTCATTCAATTTAGGGAATTTGGAGCCATTATTAAAATTTTTCTTTTTCTTTGTATTCTCTTTCTTTTGGAACTACAGTTATATGTGTGTTAGTCATTTTGATATCCCACAGTACCCTGTGGTTCTTATATTATTTTCAATCTCCTTTCTACCCTTCTTCTTCAGATTATATAATTTCTGTTATACTATCTTTAAATAATCTTGTTCAACTGATATTCCCAGTTCAAGAGTATTTTCTGTTCTTTTGTGTGTGTAGTGAGTAAGGTTTCCTTACTAGGGGTATTTTTTTGGGTGAAATGGTTGTATGTATTTAGACTTTAAACATTTCTCTTATCGTACAGCATCCTAAGTTTGCCCTCTTTGCCCTTTACAGCACAGCCTTCTCTCTCTCCCTCTTCTCCCAGAAAGATTGACCTTCCAAGACTGCCTCATTGAGTTGTGCATACACTTGTCTTTCATTTTTCCTGAAATAATCTGACCTGTTAGAACTCTTTGTCAGTATCTTAATACTTAGTGTGATTTTTTTTTTTTTTTAGTAGAGGCTCTTACCTTTCACCTTTAGCATTCTTTGAGATCTTTTGAAATATTTTTTTTTTTTGTGGTGTTCACCAGAATCAACATGTCGGGGACTGAAGAAGCAATTCTTGGAGGCCGTGACAGTCATTCTTCTGGGGGTGGCAGCCCTGTAGTATGCTTTGGACAGGTAATTGTGTGTGTGTGTTTTAATACCTGTAAGCAAAAAAAAAAAAAAAAAAAAGTATGAGAAGGCAACTTATAGAGCACCATTATATATATATAAGCTATTCTTATTGATTTTTCCTTTTTTTTTTAAAAGATTGATTTACTTATGCATTTAAGAAGTGGGGTGCAGGCCACAGGTGTGGGGGGTGAGACTATTCACCAAAGACAGAGTGGGGAATAAAACAGGCAGACTGACTGAAATACATTGCTGAGGGGAGCAGCAGGTGAGTCAGGAGAGGTCTGCTGCACCATGTGGGTAGCTCCCTGGCTGGGGGTCAAATATGTGCTGCAGAGGCTGTGGATAGCTTCATATGTGGATAGCTTCATAGTGCTGCGCCTTAACACCTTGCGCCACCAGGGAGGGCCTCACCCAGTTCTTTTTTGGAGGCATCTAAGGCTTCTGGTGTCGTATTCTTTGTGGAGATACATAGTCTGAGCATATACAAGAGATTCTTGCTTTGTCTGCTCAAACTGTTATCTTTTCTTTGCCAGAAATCTGTTAGTATCTATTTCACTTAAACTAGGGTGAGGGGAAAATTACCAAAGGGACAAAAATCAAAACATGGGGTAGTGTACTCGGGTGTCGGATGGGAAATTGTTGAACTGGAGAAGTGGAGTAAAACATTGAAGAAACAAATGGAGATAAAAATTCCTCTCATGTTTTCTCTTCCTCTGCCCCCTCGCCTGTATAAACGTATACAGTCTCACCGAGAAGTTTTCCTTTTCTGATTCTGACTTGAGAAAGCTTTGTCAGGATGGTAGTAACATTTAAAACAGTGGTTCTCAAGATGCGGACCAGTGATCTGTTGGGGCCACAACACCTTTCCAGGCTCCATGAGGTCAAAATTATTGTACAGTAATCCTAAATTACTGTTTGCCTTTTCACTCTTTCCTGAGTGATGGTGGTTTTCCACAGACTGCACAGTAGGTGGTGATACCAGCACGATGACTAGGGCAATGTGTGCCAGTTTTAATTCTTAACATTGATAGATATAACCTAAATAGACAAAAGCTCTTGGGGTCCTCAGCGTAAAGGGGTTCGGAGATCAAAAAGTTGGAGATTTGCCACTGTAAAGAACGGTGAAATGTCACTTTAACTTTCCCTTTCTGGATTGTAGCACCATTACACCGGAGAAGAGTACCAGACCATCCAGAGCGCTCTGAGGCAGAGACTGGGCCCAGAATACATAAGTAGCCGCACGGTTGGAGGACAGAAGGTAGATTGTTGCCTGATAATTGGTGCCCATACAATTGACTACTCACGTGTCCTTGCCTTTCCATGGAGTCAGGTCTCCTATTACTGTGTCCTGTCTTTGGGAGGCCTGGGCTTCAGCCTCCATTGTCATGTAATGTCACCCAAGCATTCTGTTGAAACTGATACACCTGCCATCCTATAATTTTTATACTATCATCTTTTAATTTTAATTTCTCTATATGTTTTTGGTCTTCTATAAAATAGGTCAACCTGAGGTTTGTGCTTTTTTCGAAACTGGTAGGTGAATGAATATCTTTCCCAGTTGAGTGTAGTGCCTCCCCCCAACAGAATATAAGTTCTGATTCCTTCTGGAAGATCTTTGGGATGAGTTTACAGAGAATTTCCCTGAAATGTTTAAGGGCAGTTTTGCCCCCAAAGCTGGAAAGGAGTAAATCGAGTAAATTTTCACCCACATTTAAATATGGCAAGAAATTTTAACAGATTTTTTTTCTTTAATTTTTTTCTCTAGGTGTGTTACATTGAGGGTCACAGAGTAATTAATCTGGCCAATGAAATGTTTGGTTACAATGGCTGGGCACACTCTATCACACAGCAGAATGTGGGTGAGTATCCCTCCTGGCAGTGGTGACTTCTTTAAATCTCTCACTTTGACATTGTCTGATTTCTGATATGAATATTCGGTGGCCTAGGATGTAGGGTAGGTATATTTGATTGTATGGGTTAGCACAGGAATCAGTATCCTCTTCTCTTTCCCACTTCTAGATTTTGTTGACCTTAACAATGGCAAGTTCTACGTGGGAGTCTGTGCATTTGTGAGAGTCCAATTAAAGGTGAGGGTGTTGGTGTAGACCTACTGCCTACATGGATGGGGTGGGCGGTAAGAGGCAGGAACAGGTGTTGCCAAGCTAGAGCACAACCTTCCCCTTCCTTGAGCTGGGTCTTGGTGTTCCTCAAGATGGTGGTTTTGAAATATTCCAACTCATGCGCCCCCAAAGTTATTTTGAAAAATTGTACCCTTGAATATTTTTATTTATTTTTTTTTTGTGACAGAATATTTATTTATTTATTTTTTTAATTAATAAATTTTATTTTTATATTCCCCATACAATTGCAATCCCCCATTCTGACCCCAATCCCTCCCCTCCCGCCCCCCACCCCCCAAAAAGTGTCTCTGGTTCATAGTTTTTGTTGATTTTGATTTTCACTTTCTTATAGTTATTCATTTTCCTGGTCCCTTATTTAAGTATTCTAGATTCCTGCTATGAGTGAGACCATCCTTGAATATTTTTAAATTGACACCTAAAAATTTTCACTAAAACTTATTACAAGGGCATTTTTTTTTTTTTTGGGGCATATTGTAAAATTTGACATTTTAAAATAAATCTGTTACTTTTTTTTAAAAGATTTATTTATGCATACAAGAACTGGGGTACAGGCCAGAGGTGCAGTGGGTGACAGGATTCACCAGAGACAGAGTGGGGAACAGAACAGGCAGATCGATGGAAATACACTGTTGAGGGGCACAGCGGGCGAGGCAGGAGAGGTCTGCTGCGCCATGTGGGTTGCTTCCTGGCCGGGTGGGGATCGAACTCATGCTGCAGTGGCTGCAGCTACCTTCATGGGTTGTGTCTTAACCCCTTGTGCTACCAGGGAGGTCCTAAATCTGTTATATTTTTTTCAAAATGTACCATGGATTCTAATACCATAGGAGATAAATACTATCCATTTAAAAGAAATCAAGCAAAGTATTCTTTTAATTTTTTAACAAGCTGTTCTCTAATTGTCAGTCATTGTATATTGTTTCCTCTGGAGCACATATTTCCATCTTATTTCTCCATTGGCTTTTATCCTAGGATAATATATACCTGTGACTGGTAATTTTTTTAATCAATAATCTATTTACTATACTTCTCTACCTCTGTGTATAAGTAAGGATGTGTGTGTATGTAGAAATTAAATTTTTTAGTAAATTTTCAGTGACCTTAGGCTCTAGATTAAAAAATTTCTAGATTGAGTTAGTTACAGGTATTATTAACATACAGTTGTTTAGTCAATTGTGTTTAAGTTGAAGAGACAATAAGACTACATTAAAATTTTTCTACTTAATAAAAATAAAATTTTACAGGAAATGCTTTTCTTAATGATATGAAATATGATTTTTTTCAGTTAGTTTACATATCCAGAGTTTACCATTACTTCCTCTTAAACTGAATATTCTGCATTAATTATGACTTCTTGTTTTTATAAATGGTACTGAAAAATCTTACACATATAAGTTGGGAATGGCTATAATGTCATTATTTCTTTGTTATTGTGTCATTATTTCTTTGAGTGCTTTCTGTTACATTTCAAATCTCAGTGCTGTCATCAAAAATTGTATTTAATTCTCTAACAGCTAACAACTCAATCAGGTCCACCTTCACTTCTGGTGAAACCCAAGATATGGACAGCACCTAGTGTGTGAAAAGACTTGCTGTCCACTCATTAGAGTCTATTACATAAAATTTTTCATATTTTCCTTTTATTTGATGCCCCAGGGGTTTTTACACCTTGAGGTACCGCATGTTAGTAAAACTTGGAGTGGGTTAGCTATGTGCCTTTTTTTATGTAAAAGAGGAAGCAGGAAAGGACAATTGTCTGGATGCAGGTAGGTCAGATCTAGGAAATAGTGCTGGAAATTGTGTCAGAGAGTCCATGTGCCCTTCAGCAAGGCCTTGGGGTACCCGCAGTAGTCCCCCCTTACCCAATTTCACCATCTGCACTTTCAGATACCTGTGTTCAGCTGCAGTCTGAAAATAATATGTGCAATAAGATGTTCACATAACTTTTATAATAGTATATTGTTATAATTGTTCTGTTTTACTAGTAGTTATTGTTGTTCATCTCTTACTGTGCCTAATTTATAAATTAAACTTTATCATAAATATGTAAACAGAGGAAAAAAAAGTGTAAGTAGGGTTCATTATTGTCCATGGTCTTAGGCATCCATGGGGGCCTTGGAATATATTCCCCCAGATAGAGGGGGACCAGCCTATGTCATTTGAGCACTGCAGCTTGGGGAGGCAGAAAGCTTGGGGCCAGTGACATGATGTGGAACTGCTTTTCTACTCCCAGGATGGTTCGTATCATGAAGATGTGGGCTATGGCGTTAGTGAGGGCCTCAAGTCAAAAGCCTTGTCTTTGGAGAAGGCAAGGAAGGAGGCCGTGACAGATGGGCTAAAACGAGCACTGAGGTAAGCAAAAAAGGGCTGGCATCTGACTTGCTTCGTTTTGGAGCACTGTAATACATTCACTTTGTTCACTCAGAATAGCTTAAGTCTTACTTCCACCCTGTGCTCATCTGCCTTTTTTTCCTCTCCTCTTCCTCCTGTGCTGCTGTATGCTTAGCAGTAAGTGGTAGAGTACTATAGTCTCTGCTCTATACTAGTTTTACATTCCCCCTTCCTCTACTGCAGACCTGGGCACATGAGAACACAGATAGCTTTTTCATTCTCTTTACAGTTTTACCTAAGCAGCTCTACAATTATGTATAGTGACACAGTTAACTTCATGACATAGAACAGGGTTTTTAACTCTTTTTTGGGTCATAGATACATTGAGAATTTAAGTGAAATGCATATAAGATGTACTACAAGTTTGCAATACTATGATCTCTGGGGGAGGCCGTATAACCCAAGTAAAGAACTTTTAGTCATGGAGGCTTGTGCCCCTAAGTGTGTATAGCCCACCTTTAGTGGGGAATTGGAGCCATCCTCGAGGAAGAAAACAGGCTGTGCTCTGGATGTTGTGCTCTTCTCCAGGAGGCAGCTAATGGAGTTTTGTCAGTTGTCTCTTAGTCTTTTCATACTTACTGCTGCTCCTTGAGGGCAGGGATTTGTAACTTACCCTCGTTGCTATATTTTCAGAACTTAATACAGTGCCAAAATAGGGCAGACATTTAGTAAACATTTTTTTTTTTTTTTTTTTAAAGATTTATTTATTTATTTATACAAGCACTGGGTACAGTCAGAAGCGCGGGAGAGTGAGAGAACTCACCAGAGCCAGAGCGGGAAACAGAACAGGCAGTCTGACGATACACTGCTGAGGGGAGCAGCAGGTGCGGCAGGAGAGGTCTGCACACCATGTGGGACCCTCTCCCAGGGGCTGGGGATCGAACTGGCGCTGCAGAGGCCGCGGGCAGCCTCGCAACCCAGCGCTCAACCGCTGCGCCACCAGGGGAGGCCCTAGTAAACATTTTTGAATGCCTTTTAGGGTCCATTTCTTTTGTGCAATTGAGAAACAACTTGCTCTCAAAGGTTGTAACTGTTCTCTGACATTTATATGTAATAATTCTTAACGCTCTTTCACTTTTTTTTCTCTTACCCTCAGAAGTTTTGGGAATGCACTTGGAAATTGTATTCTGGACAAAGACTATCTGAGGTCACTAAGTAAACTTCCCCGCCAGGTATGTAAGAAGTGGGTGAATGGAATGCGTTGCTGTAAAAATAGTGTAACATTCCTTTGTGAGTATTTGGGGATGAAGGAAAAGCAGTGAAGAGTTGGCTATGGACAGGGTTTGGAGTATGTGGTTCAGACCTTTGAATGTGAGTGCTACAGGAACCTGTCACTTTATTTTACAATGAAAAAATTGAAGCCCAGATAGCTTACATTACTTATCTCCCACATGGAGAGAATTGTGGCTGGTGATGGTCTATAAAACTTCAAAGGCGCACAGAGCCCTCTGGAGCACCACTGTCACTTCTCACAACACTTTGCACTCACCTGTTCAGCCTTGCTTTTCCTTAGCTCTCCTGTCTTTAAGGTTTAGCTCCCCCTTGCTTTAGTCAATGCCAGTCATGTGATCTGAGCATTTGTCTTTGGAGTCACACCTGACCGGGGCTGAGGCAAGCTCTGGAGTGTTTCTGTTGCCTCGTGGAGTGTGGCTGCTTCATTTGTGGCATCATCTGAGGTCCCTGCAGTGCCACCACACAGGGCAAAGTTCTTTGTCTTGTCCTTGAGGGGTTCTTTTTCTTGTAAAGCCCTTATAGAGGTATGTGTCAGTTGGCATCTGTCAAAACTCCATTATGTTTTTGTTCTTCAATCTTTTTATATACATTTTTGGACTCAGTTTACTAATATTTTGTTAAAGGTTTTATGAGGGATGCTAGTAGCTGTCTCTTTCTTTTACTGTGGTACCAAAATATAGCAAAATTTGCTATTTTACTCATTTTTTTTAAAAAGATTTATTTATTTATACAAGTACTGGGTACAGTCAGAAGCTCGGAAGGGTGAGAGAATTCACCAGAGCCAGAGTGAGGAGCAGAACAGGCAGAAGGACCGAAGTACACTGCTGAGGGGAGCAGCGGGCACGGCTGCACGCCATGTGCAGAGAGGAGGTCTGCACGCCATGTGGGACCTTTGCTGGTGGCCGGGGATTGAACCAGTGCTGCAGAGGCTGTGGGCAGCTTTGGATCCCAGCGCTCAACCGCTGAGCCACAGAATAAAATTCAGTAGTGAAATACAGCTCCAGAACTTTTTTATCCTGTAATACTCAATGCCCATAAAATAACCACCTCCTTATTTGAGCCTATCTTTTTGTGACTAGCTTATTTCACTTAGCATAAGGATGATGTGGATTCATCCATATTGTAGCATGTATCAGACTTCCCTTCCTTTTTAAGGCTGAATTATATTCCATTGTTTGTATATCACATTTTCTTTTTCCTTTCATCTGTTGAGGGACACTGGGTTGGTTCCATATCTTGGCTGTTGTGACTAGTGCTGTTATGAACATGGGTGTGCAGATACCTCTTCAAGACTCTGCTTTCCGTTATTTTCAATACTTATCCAGAAGTGGGGTTCCTGAATCATATGGTAGTTATAGTTTAGTTTTTGAGGAATCGCCATACTGTTTCTATAATGGTTATACCATTTTGCAGCCCAGCTGTCAGTGCAAAAGCTTTCTGATTTCACCATATCCTTGCCAATACTTGTTACCGGTTTTTTTTTTTCATTGAAGTATAATCGACACATAACATTATTTTAGTTTCATATACAACGTAATAATTTGACATTTGTATACATTGTGAAATGTATACAATGATCATCACAATAAGTCTAATTACCATCTTAGCAGCTTTCAAATTTGTAATAACATATTATTCCATATATATTTACTTATTTTTAAAGATTTATTTACTTATGTATATAAGAACTGGGGTATAGGCCAGAGGTGCAGGGCAGGGAGAGGATTCACCAGAGACAGAGTGGGGAACAGAACAGACAGATTGACTGAAATACAGTGCTGAGGGGAGCAGCGAGCAAGACAGGAGAGGTCTGCTGTGCCATGTGTGTCAGCTTCCTGGCCAGCCAGCGATCGAATTCATGCTACAGAGGCTGCAGATAGCTTCACAGTGCTGTGCTTAATCCCTGCCACTAGGGAGGCCCATCCATATTTATTTTGTAATTGGAACTTTGTACCTCTTGGTCTCCATCAGTTTTGCTCATCCCCAACTCTCCATTCTTGTAACCGTTAATCTCTCTTCTGCTTGTTTATGATTTTAGTTTAGCTTTGTTTAGATTCCACATATAAATGAAATCATGTGGTATATGTCTTTCTCTGATTTATGTCACTTAGCATTATATACTCTAGGTGCATTGATGTTGCAAAAGATTTCATCTTTTTTTAAATAGCTGAGTTTTATGTTTTTATATATATCACTTATATATACACTTACATATATTTTCATATACCATATCTGTTGATGGGTGCTTAGGTTGTTTCCAAATACTGGCTATTGTGAATAATGCTGCAGTGAACATAGGGGTGCATATATCACTTCAGATTCATATTTCCTTACCCCTCAGGATACTCAGAAGTAGAATATTTAGATCATATGGTAGTATTCTTAATTTTTTGAGGAATCTCCATGTTTTCCAGTAGGAGGGGAGGTCCTGGCATAAAGGGCAGAGAAGATATAAGCCTTTGAAAAGACCACATGTGATCATTTCCATAAAAAACAAAATATTCATCATCAGACAGACCCAGTTGCCAAGGAAGGATTCAAATTAGATGTTATAGAGTGTATGTTCTAAGTCAAAACTTAAGTAAGGTTCCTTTTTATCAAAATTTCATTAACACAGAATGGTATATAGTAGACAATGAAACTGTTCTATTTCTCATATAGTTTAAATACCCTTCTTGTCTCAGTTTGTCAGGACCTAGAAGGAATGATAGATCAGATTGTCTAATGCCATTTTTCTAGAAATTTAGATTTTGAAGGCAGGAAAAAGAAGGGAAGGTCACTGAAGAAGTCACTTCACCTCTTTTTTCCCTTATTAGTTGCCCCTTGAAGTGGATTTAACTAATGCAAAGAGACACGATTTTGAACCAGCTGTGGAACAAGCGAGATACAGTAGCTGCCAACAGAACATGGCTCTGAGACCCCAAAAACCACAAGGGGTGATGTCCTCTTGCAGACCAAGCCACTCAGATGATCCCCAGATTGTGATACAGCGGGATAAGGACAGCAGCTCCAGGTATAGGGTCTACATTACCTCTTTTTCCTCTTCTGCTCCTTCCTTCTTCTGTGGTCTGTTACCTCCGTATCTAATTTTAGAGCCAGCAAGTTGATTTGTGTGCTCCACATGAATGGACTATTCTTGTTAATTCAGTTAAATCAGGAACTCACTCTCTTTTGTTACTATCTGATGCAGATGCCTCACCTCTTCTGATGTGCAGAGTGATGCCACCTACCACCGGAAGCTCCGGCAAAAACAGTTGCAGCAGCAGTTCCGAGAGCAAATGGAAAAACAGCAGCAAGTTCAGCTCTCTGATCCGCCTGTGGAGAGGAAGGGTCCTGGTATGAGAAGAATGGGAGCAGAGGCCCTAGGGAGGTGTGCTCTGAAGGAGGCCAGCTAGGCCGCCGAGCAGTCTGATTCCCTGCCAGTTCCAGTATGGCTGGTCCAAACCACACCCGAGGAGGACTTCTCTTGTTAAAACACAGGATACACGAGACCAAGAAATTAGGATAATGAAATCCCACCAAACAGTTCCCATTTCTAAAGACACTGATCATTTGTGGGGGAAGAAAAAAGGCTTTAATACAAAGGTGCAGAAACTTTTTTTTTTGCGTTATTTTGGCTATCTTGGCATTAGAAAGCCTCCTGATGTTTATGATTGGGGTCTGAATATAAGGCCAAACTGGGTTTGAAGATAATGGGAAGTTTTGGCAGTTGGTTTATTCATGGTCTTTATTTCAGAGTCCTGATTCAGAGGGACATTTAGATAACAGTTTTTTTTTGGGAGTCTTTCCCAAAGTGTAGAAATGAGGAAAGGGCTTAAGCATTGGGAAATGGCAGAGGTCTCGGTTTATGTCTGTACAAAGGACTTGTTTCCTAATCATTTGAAATTAATGTAGGGCCTCCCCCCAAGCCCCTCAGTTGACTGCAGGGGATGTCCTTAGTAATAATTATTGTAGGTGTTTAGCTTTCAAACCACTGCAGGAGCCCCAGGGGTAAAGGGTGGAGAATATCTTCAGGGCTTTCCCTCAACCCTTATCTGTCAGCCAGAATCATTGTTTACTAAGTTTTTGCTTACCTTTTGTTTGAACAAAATTGTAGGGTTATAGCTTTAAAAAAAGCAAAAACTGGACAGATCTGTTGCCATAGGAGAAACAAATTTGTTTTCCCCCCAATTTGGTGAGAAGAAAAAAGAATATAGTCTTTTAACCTCATATAGGTCTATAGGTAGACCTCGGACTCAAGAAACTGGAGTTCTATGGGCTGTGTAGGGAACCTGTGCGATCTCAGGCAGCTCTGTGTTTCTGAGGTGACTCCTAGCAGTTGACTTACATGATCCAATGTCCTTTGTCTCCTGGTAACTGCAGCAGAGCCGCCCTTGCCTCCTGTGAAGCACAGCACTCCTGTGACTGCTGTTTCAGAACCACCCACTGAGAATGACTTTGCAGGTCAGTAGGGCAAAGGAATGACTAAGTATTCATCGGGAAATACCTATGGAGTGCTTGTAAATTTATGGATACGTCTTAAAAAAAGCCTAACAATCCTTTTTTCTATCCATTTTTCAATCCCATGCATTTTCAGAAAAAGAACCCAAAATAGATTGATAGAAGTTCTGTTAGCACATACTCCGCTTCTCTGTTGTCCTAGGAGAAGCTTCAGTGTACTTTTGGTTCCCAAAACTGTCATGGGACGCTCATGAAGTGGGATTTCTAGGGTCAATTTTCCCAGTGCTTAATGTGACAGCACTCTTTGTTGATGCTGTCTTTTTCTGTGATCTCTCTTTGAAGATAGTCTTGAAATATGGGATATGACTCAAGATACTTGGGACAGTGTTGCCAAGCTCATGTCAAGACTGGAACCCCCCACGGACCCTGCCAGTACAGACCTGAAGAACCAGATGGTGTCCCGAAACAGGATCCCAAAAAGCTTTTGTCACCAGAATCGACAAGAAAAATCTGAACCCTGGCACCCTCAAACTCACAGTGTTAACCAAAACCTAACAGGTAGTGAAGTGTTTAGGAACAAAAATTGAAGGGAGAACCTGGGCTTAATTCTGTGAATTCTAAAGGAAGAATGACATTCCATTGTAAGAAGCTGGACAGAATCACACCAGTGTAAACACAGGTGTGAGAAAACGGAAAAGAATTGGTTTAGGAGTCAGAAACTTTCCTATGGGGATCTGACTTGAGATGTAACCCTCTTTGGTGCTTCATCATAGTCGTAGAAAGCTTAGGCACAATTGCATTTCAGAGCTTTTCCTGTGATAAGTGTTGTACTTAACGTATTATTGCAACTTGCTGTAGAGTTAACTGAGGGAATGTCTTCCTCATGACTGTTCATTTCTGGATGCTCAAAATAAATTAGGATTGTTAAATAATCCAATTCAGAGATACTAGGTATCATTACATCCCTTATTTTAAAAACATTGCAGTTAAACTGAAATGATTTTATCTTCCATAGGAAACTGTGATTCCTACAGGAAAAACCAGGACATGAAGAAAAGGAAACTGGATCCATCTTAGCTGACATTCAAGCCACATTAATTTGTCAGAGACTTTGAAAACTATTTGTTGTGAAATTTTTTATCATTCCTAGAGAATGATCTCTGTTTCCAAGGACTTGCCTTGCTTCATTCATTTAAACAGAATTTGACTATTGGAACCTACTGCCGAGAAAACCATGCCACTAGAAAACAAGCATTTATATTTTAAAAGGCTTGTCACACACTGCTATGGGGAGAGTAAATACCCTTCTTTGGCTCTTGAGGCTTTTCACTATTTATTCCTAAGCTATTACATTAATAAAGATAGAAATTTTAGGAATCACTAGTGGCTACTTTCCCTTAATCAGTATAAGCCAGACTTTTAAGTTGTTCATTATTAAACTATTGTAATCCCCACCTTCTTCGCTTTAGGGCACCATGTTTTTAATGTTGCCCATACAAATACAGGTATACCTTGTCTTGTTGCACTTCACAGATACTGTTGGCTTCCTTTTTTTTTTTTTTTAACAAATTAAAGGTTGGCAGCCCCACATTAAGATGCGAGTCTGTCAGCACCATTTTTCCAACAGTGTATGCTTACTTTGGGTCTATCACATTTGGTGATTCTCACAATATTTCAGACTTCATTATTTTTTTTTAAGGATTTGTTTTTATGTATGTATGTATGTATGTATACAAGAATGGGGGTACAGGCCAGAGGTACATGGGGTAACAGGACTCACCAGAGACAGAGTGGGGAGCAGAACTGGTAGATCCACTGAAATACACTGCTGAGGGGAAGAGTGGGTGAGACAGGAGAGGTCTGCTGCACCATGTGGGTAGCTCCCTGGCCGGGTTGCACTCAGTCCATAGTGGCTGGTGAGAGCTTGATAGCTCTGAGAGTTTAACCCTTGTGTCACCAGGGATGCCCAGAATTTTCATTCTCTCTACTACGGACATAGCAGATCAGTGAGCTTCGATGTTACTAATTGTTTTGGGGAATCATAAACTGCCCATGCAAGGTGGTTTCATTGATAAATGTGTTCTTATATGTCCTTTCTCCCATCTCTCCCTCTGCTGGGGCCTCCCTATTTCCTAAGACACTACAGTATTGAAATTCGGCCAATTAGCTAGCCCTACAGTGGGCTCCAAGGGTTCTAGTGAAGAGCTGAACGTTTTTCACTTTAAGTCAAAGCTTTTATAATTTTAGTTCTCAAGGCATGTTGAAAACCAAGAGGCCAAAAGTCAGGCCTCTTGGGCCAAACAGTTAACCACATTAGGAACGCATAGGAAAAATTCTTGAAGGAAATTGAAAGTGTTATTCCAGCCAACACACAAATCATAACAGCAAACCAGCTTTATTGCTGACGTGGTCAAAGTTTTAGTGGTCTGGATAGAAGATTAAACCAGCCACATTACCTTAAGCCAAAGCCAATCCAGAGCAACTCTTCTATGAAGGAAGCTGTAAAAGAAAAGTTAGAAGCTAGCTGAGGTTGGTTCATGAGACTTAAGAAGCCATTCAGTACTAAAAAAGTGCAAGGTGAAGCAGCAAGTGCTTAAGTAGAAGCTGCAACAAGTTAGTAAGAGCTACCTAAAATCACAGATGAGGGTGGCTGTAGTAACAGATTTTCAATGTAGATGAAACATCCTGCTATACAGGAAGATGCCATGTAGGACTTTTTATAAAACTAGACAGAGTCAGTACCTGAAGTTTCAGAGGGCAGGCTGACTGTTCTCAGGGTCTAACATTACATGGTGATTTGAAGTTGAAGCCAGTGCTCATTTACCACTTTGCAAATCCTAAGGCCTGTAAGAATTAAGCTAAATCTGCTGTCTGTGCTTTACAAAAGGATCAAAACCTGGGTGACAGTTCGTCGGTTTACAATATGGCTTACTGATTAAGCCCACTGTTGAGACCTACTGCTCAGAAAGATAGGTTTCAAAATATTTCTCATTGACAACACACCTGTTACCCAAGCGCTTCTATCAAGATGTACAAGGTTAAGTGTTTTCATGCCTGCTAATGCAATATCCTTTTTGTGTAGCCCAGGCAGGGTCAAGAAGTAATTCCAACTTTCAAGTTTTATTTAAGAAATAGATTGTGAGGATATAGCTGTCAAACGGAAAACCTTTTGGAAAGTACTAACCATTCTATACACCATCAAGACTACTCATGACTCATGGGCGGTCAAAATATCAACATTAACAAGAGTTTGGAAGTTGATTTCAACGCTCCTGGATGACTTTGAGGGTCCCAAGAGGTCAGTGTGGATGTTACTGAATATGTGGTGGGAATAGTAAACTAGTATCAGAAGTGGAGCCTTAAACTCAAGTGCTACAATCTCATGAGAAAATAAATGGATGAGAAGTTGCTTCTTACATATGAACAAATAACGTCGTTTCTGGAATCTATTGGCGACTGTTGTGAACACTGTTGAAATGACTATGAAGGATTTAGAAAATTCATAACTTAGTTGATAAAGCAGTGATAGGGTATGAGAGAAGTGACCCTGATTTTCAAGTAAGTTCTGTGGGTGAAATGCTACTATCCGTGCTACAGCATGCCATACTACAGAGAAACCTTTCATGAAGAGGCAATCATTGTGGCAAAACCTTCCACCAGCAAAAAGATTGCAACTGGCTGAAGATGAAGGTCAGAAATTTTTAGCTATACCTTCAAGGTATTTGCTTTTTAAGTCTTAATGCTATTGCATACTTAACACTATAAACAACTTTCACATGCACTGGGAAACAAATTTATGACTTTTTGGAGTGCTCTGGAAGTTGCAGTATCTCTTAGGTGTGCTTGCACTGTGTATTACACAAGAATAAAAGCTATAGTGATGTTTTACTACTTTGTTTTTGTTTTTGTTTTTTTTTTTTTTGAGACGGGGTCTGGCTATGTTGCCCAGGCTTGGAGTGCAGTGGCTATTCACAGGCGCGATCCCACTACTGATCAACACGGGAGTTTTGACCTGCTCCGTTTCCGACCTGGGCCGGTTCACCCCTCCTTAGGCAACCTGGTGGTCCCCCGCTCCCGGGAGGTCACCATATTGATGCTGAACTTAGTGCGGACACCCGATCGGCATAGCGCACTGCAGCCCAGAACTCCTGGGCTCAAGCGATCCTCCAGCCTCAGCCTCCCGAGTAGCTGGGACTACAGGCGCGCCACCACGCCCGGCTGTTTTACTACTTTGTTAACCCAGGCTATAATCTTCATCTATAATCTTGTTTATAGGTTTCTGATGTCATTACCCTGCATTTTTTCCCAATCAAGTAAATAATTATCTCCAAGACCAAAGAAAAGGCATTTTGAGAAAGCAAAACAAATCCTTTACTCTGTAACAATAAAAAATACAAGTAGCTGTTTATACTTCCCCACTTCAGATGTGAGATATATCTAACATGGATTCACTTTTCATAGTGTTTTTAGATATTCCATAACTCCATCAAATAATGAATATGAAATTTTACTCTTTTGGGTTATGCCTTTTATCTAATCTTGAATGCTAACTTACGACATTTTGGATTAGTGACCCTTTTGTAGAAAGCTATGAACCTGGGATAAGGAATTCTTAAAGTACAGGAAGGCAGTCAATCATTTCAATTCCTCTGGAAGATTGACAGGTAGTGGCTTACCTGGATTTCCCTTGTTTGTCACACAGATTTGCTCATACATTCATCTTTTGATTTTTGATATCCTTACCATTTTCTTCGGTAAAGTTGCACCATAATCTTAGTTCAAGTCATAACTAGGGCTAAAAAATAGTTGCTGGGTTAAGAATCCAGTCATAAATTATATACAACTCAACATAGAGCTAATGAGAACATGAAAGGAATTTACTGGAAATGAAACCCCACAGCTCAACAAAAGCCAAGTTTGGTTTATTTGAATGGTTTCATTAAATAAGTCTACAAAGGTAACAAACTGAAGCACAAAGCTCAATCTTACAAGAAGCGCAACACCCAGAGTTAGTGCAAAATGTACAATTAACGGCTGCTGAGAAACCCCCAAGGTTTGAATTCAGTTTATTTTTTTTTTAAACAGTGTACATTGTTAAATAATGTAAGGAAAACATTTATAATTCAGAAAGATTTTTTTTAATGTGGAAAAAGATACTCAAAGTGTACTATTAACACAAATAATTTAAACAGTTCAGTAGCACTAGTTCATTCCTCTAGGCTTCAATTATTTCATTCACAGGAGGGAAAAAAAAACCAACAGTAAATAAAACCAGTTCTTTCTGTGTGTGAGTGAAGACCCCGCAAAATTATCAAACCAAAATAACAAAATGATAAATGTGCTGCATTTGGCTCGCTCGTTCCTCTGGTAAAAAGCGCTGTATAGTTCGTCTTAGGTGGTCTGTTTCTCAATTACTTGGCACCTTCTTTGTGCTATCCTTATGTCTCCCCAAAAATGGTAAGCAGAGAATGAATAAGTAAACAACTTTGAAGCAGGGCTTGGAGCCCCTACCCTTTTCATTTTTACTTCCTAAAACCTTCAGCTTTCATTTGCATCATTGTGACCGAGGCTAACTTAAAGGAACAACCAGGCTCTTCCTAATGTGGTGAATCCTGGGATGAGCTGTTGATAGCCAACCAGGCTCTTCCTAATGTGGTGAATCCTGGGATGAGCTGTTGAGGTGGGTAAGAGGTTGGAAATGTCAATTTCCCAACTCAAGAGTCAAGAGAAGAAGCACCCAAAGTTAAGTCTTTTCCAATCTTCAGAGATAATAGAGATCCCAATCTCAGCCAATTAGGAGAGTATATCCTGAAAGCTCTGAAAATAACAGAACTGCCCATTACAAGTAGGCACTGTTCTACATAATACTGGTTGGTTGCAGTTATTACTTAATGGGAATAGTTGTTGATACGAAAATATGCAATTCTAGAAATTGAGGTGGCACAAGAAATTATGATCCTGCAACCTTTGGATATCATAGGAAATGGGTAGAATAAGCATTTTTTCTTATAATGCTTAGTTCAGATGTGAGTCCACTTTCCACAAAATAGATACCCCAAGCTGAGAAATGCATGGTACATGTTCAACAAGAGGAAATGAATCCAGTTTTTTCTTAGAGCAACTTTCTCCATCTATGACTTTTCACTATCACATTTCCCATCTTAAATACTAGCCCCCACCCCTTCCCCTTTATATTCATTCAGTCATTCCTTCTAGGTCTTACCTGTTTTAAAGCCCAGTTGAACTAAGTAAGATTTATGGCAGCCATTGGCCAGGCATCATATATCTTTAAAACAAGTCTGTTAACCCATTCCTTAGTCTTTTTCTTTCACATATCACACACCGCCCTTAATCTTTTATTAAACCGGCCAATTTTGTTACCACACCCCTCTCACTGTTCTGGAATAGAACTTTCTGCTTTCAACCACTGATGTCAACTTAACTTCTCACTCTACACATCTTACACCTGCTCTAGACAAAATTATTGTATGACTTAAAAAAAAAAAAAAAAAACAACTTTCAATTTCCCTTTGGTTAATCCACTGCTGGGGTCACATGGACCACATGCCCTTTGCTGATCTGGGGTCTGATGAGAATTTGATGCTAATGGCAGAAGCAATAGAAGTCCAAGGCACTAAAATATCCAGCAAGCAATACTGGGAGAACAGAAGTATTCAAGTACAGTAATTTATACAATTTTACATTCACATTTATTTATCTAATACAATGGAATACAAAGGAAAAAGTTAAAGTGTCTCAATAAGTAAAGGACAGAGCTAGGTTCTTTTTTTCAACGTTTTAAACCTTTCATATTTTACTCTTAAAACTACTGTTGTCCAACAACATTTATATATCACAGTGTTTCCACATCAAAACTGATGGCAAAGTTACATGTCCGCAGGGAACTTAGTTTTTTTTCTAATTGCTAATGCTGCAGTCAAAGCTGCTAATGTTGTTTGCTTAAAGCACTAATGACCTATCATAAGAAAGGGTTGAAACCTCAGTCCTCTCTGTGTTCTTCATTGGGTTCTAAAGAAAAAAAAAAAGGAAAGAGGAAAAAAGGGGGAGGAAGGGGGAGTCTTGTAGGAAAAAGCCCAATAGTTTTTGTCTTGTGGTTTAGATTCTTGAGGGAATAAGGGATTTGGGGTGGGTACCAGAAACTCAGAGCTCCACCCGCTGGAAAATGTAGAGGGGTGTGGTTTTCCACTGAGCTCTCTAGTAGCTTTCTAATAAACACAATTGTCTTTCCCAGCCTTTGATGTTGGGTATAGATAAATAGAAAAGCATAGTTTGAAGCTGCCCCATCACAAGAAAGCTGCTCTTTCGTGTCCCACTCCAATAAATGGTGATGGGAGGGAGGTTCTCCATTCTGAGGGTTCTAAGCGGTATTAAAAACATTCCTTCCTGGCAAGAAATAACCAGTTAAATGCAGCACTAGTAGTTAGTATATAGGCTACTTTCCCGTCCCCTGTCCCCCTCCCCCACCCCCCACCATTCCATCTCCTGCCCCCAAATCTACTCAGTTAATGTCTCTAGGTCTAAGTGGTCCTCAGGTTGGAACCTGGGGGGTTGCTGATGGATTTCTGCAAATTGCTGATGTTGAAATTCTGTAAGGAGGCAGTTCCCACAGGTTGGAACTGACCAAGTGGCTGCGGTGCTGGGCCACCTGTTCCGCTCCACTGAGTGCTAAAGGGGGGAGCTGGAAAACCGTACTGCTGTGGGGGGCACATAGACTTGGTGAAGTGACCTAGAGAGGTAGCTGATGCTGCAGAGATGGGGGCAGAGCCACCCAGGTTTGAGGTCATGGAGGTACACAGCTGACCAGGTGCAGAAAACTTCCTTGCCATTCCAGGGCCCTGAAAACAAAACAATTGCATGTAAAATATGGTATGGTTATAACACCCATGTTATATGTGAAATGGGTGATATTCAAATATAGTTGTACTCTTGCAGGGTATAGCAAAACCAAAACCAAACCTTCCATAATAATTATCAGCTCTTTACAGTATGTTTGTGTATGTGCAGGCAGTTCAGGGTGTTGGAGGAAAAGGGAAGAAGAAAAATTGAGATGACTGATAAGAATTCAGGAAAGGAAAAATGTAAGAGTATCTGGGTGATGCTGTGTTAGGATCAAATATTATGTGCTTAGGTAGGTAATTTTATCAGCTCTGATTCAGGTATGTTGCTAAATGATATTCTGATACATTAGGAAAATGGCAAAAAGGGGAGACTTACCTCATAATTCATGTGTCCTTTGCTTCCTCTCCTGCCTGAAAGGTTCATGGCATCTCGGGCCCAATTGTCTACCAACTTGTGCAGGTCATCTGTGAATGTGCCTTTCCTGCTGGATGTCATGGCAGGAGGCTGAGCTTGGGCAGCCTGGCTGTTCACTGTTCCCCCAACAGTGTTCGTGCTGCTTGTCCCTAGAGTTCAAAGAAGGAATAGAATACAATCATTAAAGGAAGCGTGGGTTATAATTTCAGGAAGAGGAAAACTTCACAATACGATGGATGGCAAGCCACAGAATGGGGAGAGGACAAACTGGGAAGCCATGCAAGAAAGGAAGGTTCCAAGGTCTTATTTAACCAACTGTTTTGGCATAATAGCATAATGAAAACAGATTCTCTTCAGGAGCTGCAGGTAATGCTAAACAACTCAGGATGATGGTAGGCACAAAGGGTAGGTACCTCTTTCTGCCTATTTGTACACATTTTACGAGTACTGAAATTTACTGCAGTATTCTAGCCCCAGCATCGTATCGATGAGGGAGGTATGGTATGGTTAATGAGGATAGGTGCTTTATATTGCAGGACAAAGAAGATTTCTTGTATATTGGGGCAGGATCAAAGTTGGAATTTAAGGAACACAAAGACAGGTGCTTGGCCCAGGAAAAGATGGGGTTCCCAAATCATGTGGATACTGCTACAGTCTTTAGCCATTTTTTAATACAAAGTGGTAAGAGAAGTAGCAGGCTCTGTTCAAAAAAACCTTTTCACCTGGACCCAAAACCATAAATTTGTAAACAAACTTTAGGCATTAAACCTCTCCCAGCTTCCTATGAATAAAGAACCATAATTACTCATGAGGAAGATTCCTTATGGTGTACCTGGATCTTTCAACTCCAGGAAGACATGGTTTTCCTGAAGATGACCTTGTTTCAATTGGTTCAAGGGTTCTCACCCACTCCCTCCTCCTCTTTCCAAAAGAGCAAGCACTCTCATGTGGAAGCAACAGGAACATTCAGCTGAGGTGGGGGTGCAAAGGGGAGGGGGAAGCTTTGAGCTTATGATGAATTATATTTCTATAGTTTGATAAGAAAGAAAAGGAATCTGTGTCCTGCCTGATTTCGGCTCTGCTGGAGGGCACACTGAAGGGTATTCGAAGAGGCAAGATTTAGGGAAGAGGAAAAGAAGAGTCATGGTCTTGTTTTTTTTAATCCCTCACCCCCCACTTTCTTACCAGATCTCACATTTGCTGCACGATAAATAAAAGCTACCAAAGTAAGTTGTGAGCCCTTTAGGTCTAAAGATACCGAAGTAATACTGGGGCTAAATAAATGCATACAATTTCCTGCTTTCAAGATCAAAGCAGCACCACGGCACAGCAGCAAATCTGAAGCAACTCTGCCGTTTAAAAGTTCTTTTTTTTTTTTTTTTTTTTTTATAATTTTTTTTTTTAATAGAGGCTGTTTACACATGCACTGGGTACAGTCAGAGGCGCTGAGAGAATTCACCAGAGCCAGAGTGGGGAGCAGAGCAGGCAGAAGGACCGAAGTACACTACTGAGGGAGCAGCAGGAGAGGTCCGCGCGCCATGTGGGACCCTCCTCCTGTAGCAGCCAGGAATCGAACAGAGGCCGCGGGCAGCTTCGCAACCAGCGCTCAACCACTGCGCCACCGGGGAGGCCGTTTAAAAGTTCTTTATAAAATAAAACATGCCTCTATTAAAAAAAAAAAAAAAAAAAAAAGTTCTTTATAACCCATTACTGTTCTCAAGTTTATACCCTACCACCCATGAACAGCATATACCAACACATCTGTCCTAGAGTAACGGCTAATTCTGAGATGACGCTGCGGAGGAAGGTCACATGCTTCTTATCACCTAAGCAAGACCTGGAACTATTGCAGTGTGTGTTATCAGCTCACTTGGTGCTGCTGGAACCACAAGGGGATTGTTACTGCACATAGAGTGTAAAGGGAGAGTAAGTTCCTGTAAGGTACAGGAAACCCAAGTGGTAAAGTCAGCACAGGGAACAGCCTTCCTAGAATAGCAAGAGTTAGACAGTGGTGGAGTGAGAAGCACAGGCAATGAGGATGAGCCGTCATGATAATGATAAAATCCAGAAAGCAAGCATATTACATGCATGAGGACTATCATCCAGCTTGAATGATTATTGCTTGGTAAGCTTGATAATGAAACAATCAAAACAAACAAATCACAAATGAGCAGAGCTGAATCAGAAGCATAACACAGTAAGCTGAGTAGAGGTAAACACTGATAGTATACAAAGAGCTCATGCTGGAAGTCACACCTTTCTAGTCTCATGCTAGTTGCCTTTGATGACATGAGGCCCCTTTATTACCAAATTTCATGTGTATCTACATTACACAATACTGAATTCTGAAAGTAGAGTTTATGCCATCTGGGGGAGTCAATCATAAAGTAAACCTTATTCTGGCTTCTGAAAAGAGGTTTTCCCACTAAAGAGGGAAAATAAACATCTCTTTGAGATCAGAAATCAATTCCTGGGATAAACAGATTTGTCTATAAAAACTAGGGGAATGGCTAGTCCATTTAGTCCATTTTAGTAGTAAAGTTGAAGAACACAATGATACAGATATTTCTGAGAATGCTGCTTGCCTTCCATGCTTTTTTATTTTTTACCATAAAAAATCTATTAAAAAAATTTCCCCTGCCATATATAACATTTCTCTACCCTATGCCACCAGCCCCTAGTAACAATGACCTATTATGAGACACAACTCACTGATAAGTATCCTAAATACAGTTTTCTTGATATTCTAGGTAGCCGGCTGGGTTGTCAACTGTCTGCACTTTAATGAGAAGTCACTAGTTTAAGGAACTGAACAAGATAGTGTTTCTCTTTACCAACCCAGCAGACATCTCCCACAGTGATGTGAAGATAGGGACTTTCTGTATGTTTTGATCACTGATGATTTTCCAGTTGGCAGAACAGTGGCTGGCACAAATGACTCTTTTTCCCAAAGGAGTTAAGCATTTGGATCTTTCTATACATATCCAATGGCTTTATCAACCCATAACCAGCTCTGTGCTAGGTTCAGAAGGGATTATCACTGAGAGCATTGACTATAAAGTGATTTCTTAATCTGGAAGGATAGCAAGTACTAACTAAGCAGGTTAAAGAATATATTAGAAAAGGGTGCAAACTAGACAGATGGAAGTTGGAACTAGGGCATTATGAAGCTTCAAAGTATGTAGAATTCATGGATAAAAGGCTTTGTGATCAAGGGTCAAGTAAGAGAAAGAAAGATAATTACTACAGAGCTGGTTGCAAGGACAGACTTTTTTCACCATCTTCCCTGAAGCACAAAGAAGAGAGCAATGTGTTAAAGATAAAGAAACATCAGTGTAAAATACTTAGAATCTTTAAACGGCACACAAAAGCCCAGCAAGAGAAAGCAGGAGGGGAGACAGACTGGTAGGGCCTGAGAGCTCTTGTCATAGATAGTTAGATATAGGTATATCTAACTGGTTGTTACCTTTAACATGACTATCTGATAACCTGGTATCTGGCTGACATAGTTTCTACACCAATCATTATATCTAAAAGAATAATACCCTGCAAATAGGTTCGGGCATGGGGGAGGAACTCCAGTCTCTCAGGTACTCACTGCTTGAGTTTCAAATACCCAAGCAGTCTTTCCATTGACCCTGTCTCACTTTCTGTTTCTCCTGCTGGGTGTTAAAAAGCACTCAATTAAATGCATTAGCATTATGATATATAAGTACTCTCATTATAGTTCCAAGTTAATGTGGCTATCACATTTCCACATCCTAAACATACATACTAACCCTTGGCCCTCTACAAAAATATTTACAAGTACGTGGAAAACAAGCAACTTTTGAACATAAATAAAGCATTAAGCCAAGCCGTGCTTTCAGACCATTATATAATTTGAGAGCATAGAATAACGCATCTGAAACTAGTAAGCCTCCCCATCTCCTACCTCCTCCTGTTTTTCCCCCATATTTGCTTCAAATCTACCTTTTGGGATTTATTCACCATGGCTTATATGATGTATTTTGAATCACCTTCAACAGATGTAGGCTCTCTTATCTTAGACCCAAAAAGAAGTAGTAAGATTTATTATTTATAACTTCTTTCATTTGAACGGCAGTGTATTACCACCTACCTTTAAGAATTTATTGATTATTCTGAAGTCATACTTGTCACACCGTATTTCACAAAAATGGCCCGGTTTTCTTCCTTTCCTTAGACATTTAGAGCTATCTAACATAGAGCTGACATGCCGCATTCATCTCTAAAGCACTTGTCCCCACCATTGTCTTTTTTATCTTTCTAGCTGGACAAAATGAATGCTGTATAAGTGCCAAGGTTCTAAAATGCGTAGTCCAGTCTAATCTAACCAGAAAAGTTATGGATTCGAGTGCTCCAAAATCAAACATGCTTGGAAAACTACCAACTGGGTAATGCCATTCTTCTTTGTTAATTAATAGCCCTGGACTAGAGATAATTGTGGCCTAAGGACCTCTGAATCACACTGAGAAACAGTGATGGCGTTAGCACATGCATTAAAAAAGCGCTTCATAACCACATCAGAAGTTTGAGGTCTTAACAGAGAAGATCTTTATCCAAACGCTAGCAAAGGTTTTCTACTTAGTTTTGCTTTTTAAATTTTTATTTCAATATACATTTATTGCCTACCTGCTATGTGCTGGGTAAGCACTGGCTAATCGGAGGGAAACAATGTGTGCTTCCCAAGTGCTAATAACTTTTCTGTACAAGATCTTATTTGATTTTGCAACCTTAGAAAATGGACATCATGTTAATTTTACATATGTGGAAGACAGGCTAGAGGTTGGGTGAGTTACTACTGTGTATTTTTTTTCAAAGAAGAAAGCTGGGAAATCCCAATAATTATGTTTAAAACACCATTTTTTCACTTGCATAACTTTGGGTCTTTAAGAGAATAAAAGCTTTATCAGAATAACTACATCAGAACTACTTTTGAAACTACTGATCTTATGGAGTTAAAGGATAATGGTAATAGGGCCTCCCCGGTGGCGCAGCAGTTGAGCGCTGGGTTGCGAAGCTGCCCGCGGCCTCTGCGGTGCCGGTTTGATCCCCGGCTGCTCCCCAGCCACCGGAGGAGGATCCCACATGGCGCGCAGCCCTCTCCTGTCGCCTGCTGCTCCCCTCAGCAGTGTACTTCAGTCCTTCTGCCTGCTCTGCTCCCCACTCTGGCTCTGGTGAATTCTCTCACCCTCCCGCGCTTCTGACTGTACCCAGTGCTTGTATAAACAAAACAAACAAATAAAATAAATAAATAAAAAACATGCCTCTATTTAAAAAAAAAAAAAAAAAAGATGGAAGGATATTTCCATCTATTTTAAAAAAAAAAAGGATAATGGTAATAAAGGATCTAATGATGACATTCTAGCATCTTTCCAACTTATGGTTTAGTTTAAACTGAGAAGAAAAAGAGATTCTCAACTACTCTGAAAAAGAACAGAAACAGGATATAATTTTTACCTATATAATAATTTTTACCTATATTATAATTTTACCTATAAAATAATTTTTACCTATTATTATTAAAATATAATTTTATTGCCGGGATCTAAGTGCATGATGGCCAAGATGCTGTCACTTCTAATACTAGAGCGAAGGGATTACTGAGCAGGACTATCTCTAACTGGTTTAGCCGTCAGCATTCTAATGCCACAGCACGTCCGTATAGCCTTGATATCAAATCTACCCTCTGGTGGGTACTAAGGGATGAAGAAGCAATTCTATCAGAAAGTTAGTATGAAGTTTCTAAAAATCTATTATTATTTCTACATCTTTTATAATAACAGAGACCCAAACTTCTGAGGGTAACAGTAGTTCAGCCAAGCCTCTAAGTAGATGATATACAAAGAGACAAATGAAAATGAACTGCGTGAACATCAGATCCAAGCAGCAGAAAAACAAGGACGAGGAAGGAGTAAAGGTGTTACACACAAAGAGCCAAGCAGGGCGTACTCAGAAATCGGGTCCTCCTGCCACCAGGTTTGAATGTCACCTGCTCAGATGCACAGTTAAACTTCGCACAGCCTGTGAGAGGGGAAAAACAGGGAAGAACAGAGAGAAGAGACAGAACACAACTACAAGATGTTAGAAACTTGAGGCTGGAGTGGTGAAATGCACTAAGATGGCACACAGAAGAACAAGCTTTTAGGGAAAGGTCAGCTATGTAGCACAGGAAATATTAGGCCTCAGTTCCCTCCATCTGCAAAATGCTGAAGCTTTTCTTACTGGGAATAATACTACCTTAGTTTGCACCCCTACCAAGCAGGTACCTTCATCTTGTGAAGAGATAATGTAATCTCTAATTTGTATGATACTGTGGCAAAAGCACCTAAGCTAGTTATCTGTATTTTGTTCCATTTTTTTTCCCTACCCAGACACCCAACTCTTTTCAATTTTTGTTATAATGTTACTAGAAGTCTTCTCCTCAACAGTAAAGTTTTGAGAGATCATTAGGAACCCAAACTACATTTGGAAAATAGATTATGGATAGAAAATTGAACTGTAGGGCTATTCAATTTTATTATGTTATTCCCATACTTGAAGGTCAAAAAGGTACAAAAATTGGCCAAGTAAATTCGTTACCTTTCAGAAACTGCTAAAACTTCTCAGAATTTGGTTGCAGAAATCTCAGTATAGTATTAAAACGTTAAGCTCCAAATCCCAAATCTCATGTATGTCACAGGTGTGACTTTTTGCTGCAATCTCTTGAAAAAAGGTATTTCACCTGATGGGAGCAATAAACCCACCCAACTTTCCCTTATTAGCCCCAAAGATTCATAACCATAAAATACACAGGATGTGTTCTAGTAAGCTGGTCTTCCAACCCACCTTAAACAATAGGTTACTTTTCAGGCTTTTGTCACAGACATGGCAATATCTCCATTTAAATGTTTTTGGGTGATGGTTGCTTACCTTGACCTGGAGCAGAAAGGCTTGGTACTGAAATGGCACCATCGCTGGTAAAGGCTGAATAGAGGTTGTCACTGGAGGGAGATGGCTTAAGGGGCTGTAACAGTTGATTCTGCCCAGTTTCTGGGATGTTCCCAGGTGGGTGGAGGGTCTGTTGAGGATGCAAGACTGAAGATGCACTCTGACCAGTAATGTTACCTGACAAAGATAAAGTGGCATGAGGAAACACATACAGCTTCCCAATGTCCCACTGAGTAAATAACGTTGGTCACGAGTTATAGATGATTAAAGATCAAAGGCCTCACTGACAGGAGAAATGAGGAAAAACATGAGAATCAATAGGTAATAGGACTATAGGAAACGATCCCAAAAGAAGATTTTTTATTTTAGATAACCTAGGTGGTTCATAAGTCTGATGAGCTGAGTGAACATGCAGCAGATAGAAGAGAATTTCATTTTGTAATTTCAAGATTCCTTTAGTTAAATCCTATTATAAACCAGTTGGATCATGATATGAAGAGGTTTCTTAGGCTGCCTCTGCTTACTTAGTCTTTCTTGCAAGTATGCATCAGATTAAGTACAAAAAAGATGTCAGAAATTATGTGACTACAGAGTAACTTAACTTTTTCTCTTTTTCATTGTATTTTTTTTTTTTTAATGAGGTAACAATTGTTTAACATATATTTTGAGGGTACAGGTTCATTTTTCTTGGTAGATGGCTTTCAAACACTAGTTAAGTGTCTGGAAATTGATTTCTCTATAACTTAGTAACTAGTCAAACAGTCTTTTCAAAAAGTATGTCAAAGTTGGGATCAAAATCTAAATTAGTTGATATTCCTTATAATCACCTCTCTATGAAGGAATGGGTCCTATTGTGCTAGAAGAAAAGATGTCAGTCTTTGAAAGTTTACAAAGAACGGAGACCTGCTAAAGGTTTGTAATTTCTCTCCACCATATTTACACTGAACCTGGAGAGCAAATGAGGTATAAACTTATTTCACCCTATTCTACTTTTTCAACTAGCTATCTGTTAACATTACCATAACTTCACCAGAGTAAAAACATTCAGTGCAATTAAAATAGGCAAACAATTATTTATTACAAGAGATTATGATTTAACTATTTCTCTGATTACAAACACTAGCAAGTCTTTTATTTGATACTAATAAATAAAGAACAATCTATCTTTTCTACCTGCCCATGAGTTTGGTGAATATGAGTTATACGAGGTTCCAGGCACAACTGACTGTTTTATACTTCAGAACAACTATAAACAAAGACTATCAGTAAATAGTAATATGGACCACAGTGGAATCAGTCATTATACTTACCCTGTCTACTTCCATAAACTCAAAAAGAGGTAAATAGAGGAATAGTCAAGGAAGCAAGAATATTAGGAAAGTTACATTCCTTTGAAAAATAGCAAATATTATATAAATTATAAGGTTGAAAACAGAAACAAAAGATGGGATTTCATGGCTGACTCAGTCCAGGAGGCTTTACCTGAAAGCTGAGGGCTTTTATTCCCCAAAGAACTGCTGCGACTAGATTTGCTGCCTTTGCTTTTAGTGGGCCGCCTTCTTCTCCCTGCAAGGGGAGCCGCTGGGGGAATGATGACAGCAGGGGGAACCTTGCCCAGTTTGGTATACAAAGATTCAATTTCATGTTTCTGGCGACTCTGTAGGTCTTGAATCTCTTTAAGGTGTCTATAAAGATAACCAAACATATTCAAAAATATTACAACCATCTTTGTTCAAATAAGAATCAACAACAAATCCTTTAACCTCTATTCAAGTATTTATTTACTCATAAATCTCTTCCACAAATGTATCAGAAATCTAACTTCTAATACACTAAAATTCTAATTTGTGAACTCATCTTCTCTCCATTACCCAAGTCAAATTCTTTTTTTTTCTCTCTTCCTCATGTCAAATTCTAATAAGCAAAGCCAACAACATGTGGTTGATGTGTCATGGGAAAAAGATTTCCTGATTTTTTTAAAAGATTTATTTATTTATTTATATAAGCACTGGGTACAGTCAGAAGCATGGGGCGGCAGGAGAGGTCTGTGCGCCATGTGGGACCCTCGCCCGGCGGCCGGGGATTGAATCGGTGCTACAGAGGCTGCGGGCAGCTTCGCAACCCAGGTCTCAACCGCTGTGCCACTGGGGAGGCCCAAGATTTCCTGATTTTTGAGGCTATATGCAGGAGTACTGAATTCGCTACTTTGATCTAATCTATAAAATATGACCAACAAAATCTGCTAAAAGTATCTCCATAGCTGTGCCATCAATGGATTCATTTGGCAGACTAGTCAGTAGCTAAGATTAGGTCAACAATGATAAAAAGTGCTACTTTATTAGTAACAACAATACTTAAAAAATTTATAGAATTAAAAATGTGCTGAAGAAGTTCTGTGAGTAGAAATGCTATGGGTGCTTATGAGCGCAAGAGAACCACATTCTGGTAATTAGCTTTTTCATATTACCTTCTATCATGGAAATGAGATGTAAGCATAGTGCAGTGAACACAATACTAATCTAGGCACCAGGAGTTAGACCTTAATATCCACCATTATTCTCTCATAGAACAAAGTATACTTACTTTTCTCGTAGTCGTCGCAGCTCTAACTTTAAGTCTTCATCTTCAATATCTGACTCATTGTCGCTACTCATGTAAGAGGAGTTGAATGAATTACTAAGGCTTTGACTTAGATTCTGGATAGGAAGGCTCTTTGAGCACAGTTGTTGCGGGGAGTGTGGACTACCTGAACCATCATCCACATCCCTACTTAGGAAGGCAGCCTCCAGGTCAGAAGACGGCCCATTCAGATGTGAAGGTTCAGAGAGTTCAGGCTTTTCTTTCTTTGGTATCACAGCAGGAAGAACAGTTTGTTCCAAATCCATTAAAGGAGGAGCTGCCACTGGTCCCTCTTTCTTCGCCTCAGCCATCTTGTCTTCAGTTCTTGATACAGAGAAACGACCAACTTTATTTGTTGTAGTTGTCACCTGAAAACGTCCAACCTTGGTAGGCTGATCAGTTTCTGAGGCAGGAATTTTGTGGGCACTATCTGGCATATCTGAAGAAATGCCATGGACTGTTATCCCATTAGGCTCTGGCTTCACCAGGGTACTCTCTGGACTACTACTTGATAGCACAGAGGACTCTGAAGTGCTGGATTCAAAATGAACAGACTTTGCATCTTCTGACTTATTTTTACCCTCTCTCTGCGCATCATCCATTGTTACTGAAACCTGATAGAAAGAGGCAAAGGTGAGATTAAAAAACAAAGTTCCCAGTATTTAATTTTTAGCATGGCTCATAAAAAAATGGAATCACTATTTCTTAGTCATTGAGTAGGCTAGATTAAAAAGTCCCTCCATCTTTGACTATGAAAATAAATTGAATACCACTACAAAGAACAACATCTGTACTGAGATGCAGATACTGCATGGCTGGCTAAGTATATGATTTACTATCATTTCTTATATTATGAGAAGGACTCTGATTCTTGTCTAGTGCAAATATAAATAATAGGTCATGGAATCTTGAAGGTTACTTATGTATAAGAAAAACTACCAAGATTAAATATAATATAAATGTTAATTGACAGCTAAGCTTCAAGAATCAACACAACTAAGTGGCACTAAAAGGAGGATCCAGATCCTTGTTAGCGCATCTATATATAAACACAAACCCAGGCCAGCTACAAACTCATAAAATAACAATTTGCAAGCCAAAAAAAAATCACCTACCACCCCCAAATCCAAGATTATCATGAGAATAAACGAAAAGTAGTTGAGGAAGCAGTTAAAATATTTATATTTTTTTCAAAGCTTTTTTGGTATGATGTACTAAGAGCCAGAAAATGCTCTCTTGTTGAAACAGCTAGAAAAATGATATGGTATCATTTAACATTGACCCAATATTTCCACTTCAGAAATTAATCCTAAAAAAATTCCTAAACATTGAAAAATTGTTATATATAAAAATGTTTACTGTTGGGCCTCCCCTGGTGGTGCAGCGGTTGAGCGCTGGACTGCAAAGCTGCCCACAGCCTCAGCAGCGCCGGTACGATCCCCGGCCACCAGCGAGGGTCTCCTCCACGCCCACTGCTCCCCTCAGCAGTGTATTTCGTCACTCTGCCTGTTCTGTTCCCCACTCTGGCTCTGGTGAATTCTCTCACCCTCCCGCGCTTCTGACTGTAGCCAGTGCTTGTATGAATAAATAAATACATCTTTTTAAAAAAAAGTTTACTGTTACTTCATTTATTATGTTGAAAAAATTAGAAATAGGAGAATGGTTAGGTAAACTACTAGATAGGGAAAAAAGCTACAAAGTATCATTCAAAGGATAATCAGGGTCAATTTTAGATAATACACATGTATACAAGGGAAAAAAATATACTCCCAAGAGTAATCATGGAGTGGGAGTGGGGGAAGGTAGAAAGGGAGGATTGGTATGATAATTCACTGTTTCTCTACTGTTCTAAGTATCTATATTTTAATTAGCATCTATTATTTGTAAGAGGGAAAATGATGAAAAGCTTTAGAAGTGCTATGTAAAAGAAATATATTACTGTATTGGAAATTACGTCCCAATAGGTAGGAAATATTTTTATTATATAGACTCTCCCTTCTGGCAAAAGAGGGTATCAATCGTCTTACTTGAAATCTCCCCATCTTAAAAACACCAGCTCCTGAACTAGTTGTGAGGACAGGGCCTTCTGTGACTTGAGGAACTGAAACAAAGAAAAGGAAGAAAACAACTTAAATTAGCATCTTTTTAGTTAGCTTCTTTTCCCTTTGGCCAGAAATATAGCAAAATGAAAGCACATATCAGACAAAAAAATATTAGAGGTAAAAAAAATTTCCTTACCTTTGCCTCCCTCCCTTTCCCTGTAGGCTTTGTCCAGCAAGGACAAAGTGCTATTATTTGCTGTCCTACTAGATTTATTTTTAGTCTGCAAATTTATTATCAATATTCTACCTTTCCTTGTATATATGCACAGAGGATATGACATCATTTGAAGGAATAAAAGTTGTATATAAGTAAAGCAGATTCCCAGGTTAACTACAACATTAAGAGATACTATAAAAAATAGGGAAACAGCAGTAAGAATTCAGTTAATATTTCTTTACTTAAAAGATAAATGGTATGATTTTTACCTAGAATATTAAGGATCCATTTTAAAATGAAAACCAGCTATGGGAAACTAGTTTATGCAAAATCTTAAAACAGGGCAGTATAAGTGTCAGACTCATTGATAGGTATGTTTGAGCAACTTTAAACTACTTCCTCCTCTTTCTTCCTTTCTAGGGACAGTCATTTGAGTTTAATTCTAACAATATTATAACTACGAACCAAAATTTTCTTTATTTTATACAACTGGTAGATTACTGACTTTGATATTTCCATTTCAGGGATCTATCTCAGGTCATTATATATAAATGTCTCCATTTTTTTAATTGGCTGTGTAGTGTTACACTGTATAAATGCATCATATATGTGTGTGTAAATATAATTTTTAAAAAATTACCATATTTGAACAGGGCTTCCTACTGATGGATATTTAAGTTACTCAGAACTTGTTGGTATAATAAAAGTTCTCTAATAAATATTCTCATTAGAACTGTGGAATAAATACCTAAATATGAAAGTACTGTATCATCTCCACTGAATACTTTGATAGACATTACTAAACTGATCTCTAAAGAGGTTGTAAACTTCTGAATTTACCAATGAGAGATGAGAAATCTATCACTTGTAGAATTACTTTACATTTCTGTTATCATGAAGGGAGTTAAATATTTTCAAATTTTTTTGAAAATATTTCTTTTTCTGATTTGTTGGATTATATTTTGGTCCATGCTGAACTTATAGAAACTTTTCATTTGCAAAACTAGTCCTTCTTGTGATATGAATATACACACATACACAGCACAGTTTTATAGTTATGTTTGGGCCAAATTATTTTATTTTGAATGCAGATTTGAAATTTATTACTGTTTCTAGGTTGAATATTACACTAAACATCTTCCTTTATATCAGGGATCAGCACACTATGATCCATGAACCAAATATAGCCCACTGCATGTTTCTGTAAATACATTTTTTTGGAACACAGTGAACATAATCATTTATTGTCTACTGTTGCCTTTGGGCTACCGTAGGGGATTTGAGTAGTTCTGGGAAAACCTATATGGTCAGCAAAGCCTAAAATATTTACTGTTTGTCCTCTTACAGAGAAAATTTGTTGACTCTGCTCTAAACAATTTAAAAAACAAAAGAAAAATAATCCTTTTGTTTTCTTACAGTATTATTTTCTGGTATCACTTTTCAACTTTGATACATTTGGCATTTATTTTGTTGTACACTAGTGTTCTACCTTTGTTTTTTTCCAGGTAGCTGTTTGGTTGTTCTGAACCATCCTTTCCTCACTGAATTAGAAAGTTACCTTTTCATACTTTACATTCCCCTTTGGTCAGTCCATTTCTAGAATTTTCTAGTCTAGTTCATTAATTTTAAGTGACTTATTTTAAAGTGAGAGTCAATTCAGAATGTAATTGCCTTGAAAATTTAGAGGTCTCCAAGTGAAATTCAGTATTTAAGGAAGACAGGAAGAAGTAATAGCATGCAGGTAATCTTATTTTTATATTAGGAAAGTACATTTATGTCTGATGGTGTTGAGGATGAATATATCAATACTATAAAGAGAGAATTAACATTAAGCAAGTGCTATAGAAAATTACACTGAATAATTACAGCCTACATTTAATTATTTTCATTTATGAATATAAATAATTTGGAAAGAAAACATGACTAAAATAGAAACTAAATCTCACGTGTTCTGTGGGACTGATGAATTGGTAAAAACCAATTCAATGACGTAAGCTGATTTGAACTTACGGCTAAGCACATGGTGATAAAAGTTCTTATACATTTTTGTTGGTATGGGTAATTTTTACAAAATAAAGTTGGAAATATGGCCATCAAAAGAGATTTATTTATGAACATGCCAATTCTAAAGACTCCAAAATAGATAAAGTAATGCTTTCAATTAAGATAAATGGAAATCTTAAGATGTGTGTTTCTATCACCCATGCTGTTTAGGTTTATCTCTTACTTCTATAATATTTGGTGTCACAAAAGTCAAGAGTAAATTAACTTTTATAAATATACTTGCATTTCCTAATCTTTCATAGCAAGGATGTGACCTACTTAGTAACAAAGAGCCTTATGCTAAGAAACTATCATTACTCCTTGTATGTCTCCCTTGAAAAAAATAAACAACTGTAAAAGATCTATTCCTTTACTAATATTTCATGCTCTTAATAATAGTATCAATGTTTCTTGGTCATGAAATATGTAAAAAGTGTTCCTTAAAATAGTCTCAAGTACACCTACATTCTCAAGAGATGTGTCTCTGAAACAGTTAACCTCTATAATGAATTCACACGGAAGGGCTGGAAGTGGTAATTAACTAAGAAGGATGCATCTTACCATCCTTCTGAAGCTGTGCTCCTGCTTCTGTAACTGCTGTTGGAGCCACCATGGACACAGGCTGCAAAATATACACAGAGACACCACAAAATCTTTAGTTTCAGTCATTCTTAAACTTTTATCCTGCTACTTTTACTCTGGTCTTTATAAATGGCAGAAAAGGAAAAAAAAAGGGGAAGAAAGATAGTATATATGTAAAGAAACACATGTCTGAGGGAATTTCCTATTTTATTTTTAAAGCAGGCTAAAAGTAAGTGATACAAAATAAGACAAATTTTTAAAGTTTTTAGTCTTAAACTCTTCTACTTTGCTTAATTTTTTTCACAGAATACATGGATATTCACAGAAAAGTAGTTTTAATCAGAACATTAATTACTGTGTCACAAGAATAAATGAAGAATTTAAAACTGAAAAGTATAATCTCCTCCAAAGCTTAAATACAAAATCATAGGCTTGATCTGTGGTATACAATTCAGATATAAGACAAGAAAGCATCTTTCAAATCAAGTATTTCCCATAGCTACACTACTGGATCAGTGCTACTCTTTTGTTAGTCTATCTCATTCTATTGACTGGAATAAGCAAAGACTCTGAGTAGGTGCTAAAGAGACTGATAATGGTTTGAGGTTACAGCTTAGTATGTTCTAGAAACATACTACATTAGGGTTATGAGAAGATTTTATTAAGATTTTCAGCACTTACACCAACTGTAGATGTCACCGCAATAGTTTCTGGACTAAGTGTTCTTCGCAACTGAGCATCAAGATCTTCTAGAGGCTGCTGGGACTGCATGAAAACCACCACAGCAAGATTAAATTTTGACATATTCAGAGATGCTATATATAGCCAAATTATAGGAGACATACTGTTTTACGCTTTAGATGACCACAATATAACATCTATCTATTCTCTGAACACAAATCTCAACATCCTAAATCCAATTTAGTTAAACTGCTTGGATGAGTCTCAAAAATTAAGTCAATCTCTCAAAGTCTTAGAGAGAAACTTAACTATGTTTATGTTTCTAGAGTTTCAAAGTCTTTTTTTGCCATCTATATATGATATTACTCAAAGTGATACAAAAATTGTCAGTCTTCTCTTTAAAAATACATTCTGCAAAATTGATCAGGATTTATTAATATACTTAGAATATTATATGTTTCGTATTTTTCAGTTTTGTCCATCTTTCTGAGAATATGTCCTTATGACCAAAAGATGGCATTATCTTATATGTCACTATCAACCAACGTTACTTTTTCAAGTGTTAACAATTTAAGTTTTTATATACTATAGATGGCAGCAAGGAGGAACTGAAGTCTGGGCATTCATTCCATCCTAGAGACCAGGCCTCAAATCACCCACCCACAACCATAACCTTTTACCCTTTGCCACAGTCTTTTAACCCTATATCTATCTGGGCTTCTATCAACTTATTCTCTTACAGCCTTATCCCTCTGTAGGTAGATGCTATCACTGACCAGAACCCCTCCACATATCTTATTTACTGTTTTTTCATACCTTGAGCTCTCGTCTCTTAGCTCAAACACCAAGTTTTTATATGAGAGATTTAAAACGCCTAATTTATACACTTTCACAATGCAACTTTTTCAAAATCCAGTGGCTGATAAAGTGGTTCTCTTGGAGTAAATACTCTATTATGGCAAATTATTTAAACCATGTCCTATTATATATATATCTGGGATGGAAGAAGTAGGGATAATTCAGACTTCCCAAGTTGGTAATTTACCATGGTGTTTTTTTTTTTAACCTATGATACTAAAATAAATTCCTAATTCACTTTCAATGCTTATTAGTTTGTCCCTTTCTAGAGTTTTCCCAAGTACTATGAATATAATGGATTTGTAATGAGTATTTTCCTTATGGAAATTTAACTAAATGGGCTGGATGGTGGGGTGGGAAAGGGAAATAATTTAAATATTGTAGGCAAAAAAAAAATATTGTAGGCAATTCTGACCACCATTTCATCAAATGAGCACAAGTGAGTATAAGAGGGAAATCTCACATTCATGTTGCTGGTTTCAGTTCCTCTATGAGTAATCTTATGTTAGCTGAGCTATGTAGTTTTGATATTTAAAGACATAATACATTTTTCATGAACACGACCCTTTATTCACCTATATGTAAGTCTCCTACATCATCACTGAAACAAATGTAAAATATTCAAATAAAAACTTTGCTGCATTGAACTCATAAAAAAGGGAATTATCAATGTAGTAACATTTCCTAGGGAGCTGTCAAAATCAATTTTCATTACATATAATAATATTTTCCTTTTATAATGGTACAGAACCTAATCTCATACGAAGATACAATTTCACTATTCCACAAAGTGTGAATGATTGGAGTTATTTAGCCAGTGTCAATTTTTGCTATTTTCTTCCTTCATGAGATATGAAAAAATATTAAGAGTTTTCTAGATAACTTTAAGCAACATTACAAACAAAAGAACTGTAAAGTTCTTTTAAGTAAGGTCTGAGTCATTTACCATACTGATTTAAAAGAAAGTTGTTACTAATGAAAATTAAATAGGAGTGAGAAGCTGAGATCATGCAATGGAGAATTTAAATAAGCTTTGTGAAAGAAAGCCAGGGCACAAAAAGATAACTGCCAAGTCTTGGGGCACCTGAGTTAGTGAAGGTCCTGGAAAAGGTGGCAGCTGCTCGCTGGGTGGAGTACCAGCTGGAGGTTCAGTACCTACTGGCAGCACCTATAGACAATGAAGGGAAATTCAAGTTCATGAGACACTAAGAGTAAAGAATGTACAATGAAGAGCAAACCAACTAATCTGAATGCAGAAGCCTAAGAATAAACTATCTAAGTAAGGCATGTTTGTCACCTGGGTTACACTCTGGGATCTATCTTGAAAGAAGGAATTATATCAGTGATACTACTATAAGATACCAATAAAGTTAATAGTAAAATTTAGTAAAAAGTTATTCCCTAAGGAAAATAGAGAAAAAAGGGTATAGGACATGACAGGCACAGTCCAGATATTCTTGAACCACTTACTTGGTACAGTATTACCTATCAGGCTTTTCCTAAAATCAAGAAGACTTTTCTGAGAATTTAAAACAATTCAGAAATAGGGGGCCTCCTTGGTGGTGCAAGGGGCTAAGTCTCAGCACCATGAAGCTATCAACAGCCACTGCATCAAGAGTTTGATCCCTGGTCAGGGAGCTAACCCACATGGTGCAACAGACCTCTCCTGTCCCGCCCGCTGCTCCCCTCAGCAGTGTTATTTCAATCTGCCTGATCTGCTCTCCATGCTGTCTCTGGTGAATCCTCTCACCCCATCCCCATACCTCTAGCCTACACCCCAGCTCTTGTATGCATGAATAAAACAAATCTTAAAAAAAAAAAAATTTCAGAAATAAGCAAGGGGCAGGTCTGATTAAAAAAAGCACCAAAAATCTAATGCTATAAAGCAATTTGTATTTTATCTTAGTGGACGCCTCTATATTATAAAAAAAAAAAAGACTTTCATATGAATGGCAAAGCAGAAAGATAAGTGAAGCATACAATACAGTAGAAAAAAAATACAGTGTTGTTATTTGGAGAAGACCAGAGGTTAAAGAAGCAGAATGAGAGGAAATCTACCACAGCAGAACTAGAAAACATTTTAGTTATTTTATTCCTAGGATTAGATTCTCTTTTCTTCCTCTTATCAATGTCATTACCCACTTCCAATTTTTTTTATAAACCCCAACTTGATCATGTGCAGTTTAAGGAAAACAGAAAATCTGCTTTATCTTCACTGAAACAGATTGTGAATGGATGTTACTATGAATAATCTGACAGCAGGTACATTTATTTTCCTTTTGGGATATAAAATTCCTTCAAGTTTGGAGCAATTGGGAAGAAGTACCTGTATTTTACCTGATTAATATAGTCTGAGAAAATTGCAAGATATAATTAATATCATATTTCAAAAGAAAAAAAATCCCATGATCAATGTACACATATCCTCAATCACCTGCAATATATTTAATCAATGCCACAATAGGCCAGGCAGCATTATAACTACATTAATAACTTGCAATTACTGGTGGAAAGCATGATCACAGTTATCAAATTATGTCTAAACAAGAATCTTACAGGAGTCTTAGTTAAAGGTGGCTTTGCTGGAGCAGTTACAGGCTTCACTCCTGGTGCAGTGCTGACTGAGGCTGAAACGTAACTCACTGGTGTAGAAACTTGCCCAGGTGTAACCACTGGCATTGCTGGCAAACCAGTTGTTCCTATTGGTAAACTGGTTGGTGGTAAGCAAGTACTTGTAGTGGAAGTCATGAGTTTACTTGGGGCAACAGCAGTGGTTGGGATGCCTGGCGTGACAGTGGTCTCTACTACTAGTGATGTTTCCAGTGAGACAGGGGCATGCTGAGCTCCAGATGAACTGTGTTCACTAAAGAGAGATCGCAGTTTTTCCTCTAGAGTCTTTATATCATCTATCCCAGCTTTGGGCTGTGTATCAGCATCTATTTCAGGACAATGCATATGGGGCTGGTTGGGAAGCAAAGCTGGTTGAGGCTGACTATGAATTAGTGTCTGCTGTACAGCAGGCACATTGGCAACAGGTTGTGCCAAGGGTGGGATACTAGGTACTTGGGGTAATAATGGTGTAGCAGTAGGTCCTACTGCTTGTGGAAGGACAGGAGTAGAACCTATAGTTGGTGGGATGACCAAGGGATGCAATCCACCAGGCTGAGAAATAGAACTAGATACTCCTGCTCCAGGGGAAGAAGAGGAAGATGATGTTGAGAGGGTCAAAGCCAATCCAGTTGTACTGCTATGAGATGTTTTATCTAGTGAGTGTGCACTAACCACCACTGTTTCAGCTAGAGTAGGCGCAGAGGTGCTGCAGCTAAGCTGAAGGGATGGAAATGAAGTGGTAGTAGAAACTGATGTTAATGTGGCTCCCCCAGTAGTACTGCCTGCTGTCTGCTGAGATAATACAGGTGGAGGCTTAGCACCTGGGACAGCAGCATTGCCCACTGCAGAGGCTGAAGGTGTTGAAAGTGGTACAGACGGGTAAGTGCCTATACTAGAAACAATGGTCCCAGATATGGGAGCCTGAACTGACTGGGATGTTGATATCGAGACAATGGCAGGTATGGTGATGCTTGTTACCACATTGGAAAGTACTGGTGATTCAGAGGCAGGTGGTATAGGGAGACCACTTGAAGTTATTACACATGAGCTGGTGGCAGCCCCAACAACCCCTTTTTCAGTGGGTACTGTAATATCAGATTGAATTACTGATGTGGAGATGGCATTAAGAGGGCTGCTAGTTGCAGGGACTAATACTGAAGATGTGGCTGCTGTTGGGGTTGGAACTCCAGCAATATTACTCATTGCTGGAGGAGGTACTACTGGAAATGTTGGTCCTGTCTGACTAAAATTGGGAGGTGCTGTATTGGGTCCTTCTGTCATTTGGCCATGCCTAAGTTCAGAAAAAGCCTGCTGTAGACTAAGGGATGAAGCAGAGTGAGACAAGTTCATTCCAGATGTTGAAGCAGCAACTGAAAGGAAAAACAGTATGTTTAGAATCAGTTCATTTAAAAAGGAGAATATTCAAAAGACTGTCCTAAAAATCTATTTTTGGTTTAAAACAATGCCACATACCAACAAAGCTAAAAACCTCTCCAAGGAAATGAAGAGGCTCTAACTCAAAGTTAAATAGCAATTTGATCAAAATAAGCTTGTATGAGGAACAATACAGAGTAATCTCAAAGCGCATACAATAGTATTAAATGGAGAAACCAAACATACTATTGTATCTACACAGTGTCTTCTAGTGTATCTAGTATGGCCATTCTTTTGGGCTATTTTTCTCTTACCCTCTCTATTCATCATCTATTCCCATCCTTCATATAGTTTATCTGCTAGTCATAATCTCAATTTTTCTACTCTTTATTGTCTATGTCATCACTTGAACTACTGCTTGATGACCACACTTGCAATATAGCAGAGAAACTATAGAATTTACACAAGTATGTGGTAAAAAATTCCCTTACCTGTATCTGATATTTCATTGCTGAAAATTTTTGATTCTCGTAAACGACTTTCTGGCACAGGACTCACTATAAACCGTCTTCCAGCAGAATGCACAACTTGAGTTAACGAACTAGTAGTAATGCCTGGTTAAAAAGAAGAAGACCACTTAACAATGTTTTACTTACACAAACACACACGACCACCAATATGCAGCTTCACGATTTCATCATGGTTTAAACCATCTTTGATAAAAGAAAACAAAGATATGAAAGAAATTCACCTATTTGCTGTGGTGGGGAAGATGCAGGAAGTGGTTGTTTGAATTCTCCTTCCAGTTTCTGTAACAAACAAAGGAATTAAATTGATTCTCAAATGCAATCTCAACAATTAGGCAAAACAAAATGACCACATGTAAAGAGGCTATCAATGGTTGATAATTTCCGTCGTAGTTGTAATGTGGTATCATGGGACATTTTTGCATGGCAAATTCTGCATTATAGAAATATTTCAAGTAAACAAAGTTTCACAATGGGAATGGTAAACCTACCTGAGAACCTGAAAAGCCATAGTCATCTTTTCCCTGTAGACTCTCTAATCCCTGGTCACCCTCTGGCTCCACACTGACATCCTCACTGAGCATTTCATCAGCTTTTTCAATAATTTCCCGCACTTGATCCACAAATGAATCTCTCTCAATTGCTAAAATGAAGTCATTGTTCACCTGTAACAAAAATATGATGTCAGTTTAATAAAGTTTCTCAGGTTTTACGTTTTTCAATTACCACTTCCATGACTTCTGCTCTATCTGCGTAACACCTGCTTTTATTTGCTATGTGAGTTTTGCAATGCCTATTTAGACACGTCTGAGACAAAAACATTTCTAAATCACAGGCTTAGTACATTATTTATAGTCAGAATGAAAGAAGTGCTTAATGCCAAAATAGATTACAAAATACTGCATATTTATGTAGGGCAGTGGATATTAAGATCAAGTACTAATACCAAATGTGGAATTCAAAATGCAGACATACCATAATTGTTGCTATCTCCTCAGGGTTGTCACCATCTAAATCAAATTTGAATGTAACCATTTTCCGATTGTGGGTCTCTAACTGACATTCTACTACCCGGTCACCTTTATTTGAAACCTAGAAAGAAAAAAGAAAAAAGCACTACATATTTCAGAGGATACATTCACAGCTTTGTTACTGATTTTGAGAAAGTAACGCAGATTACCACACGAACTTAACCCTGATGTCACTACTCCCTGGATAACCGGCACTTTGCCTCCATACTAAGAATAAGGAAACCTTTGACGATGATTAGCCTTTGTGTAACTAACTGATCTTCAATGCAATGAAGACTGCAATAAAGACTATGGAAGGAATATGAAGTCTTTCATCTACAAAGTAAACTTCTTCCTCTTCTTTTTTTTTTTTTTTTTTTTTTTGTGGGACCCACGCCAGTGGCCGGGGAACGAACCGGCGCTGCAGAGGCTGTGGGCAGCCTCGCAGCCCAGTGCTGAACCGCTGTGCCACCAGGGGAGGCCCCACAAAGTAAACTTCTTTATTCTTTTCCTATATTTAAAAAAGATATAATTAAATCAAACATTTAAGCAAGAAATAATTAAAAAAAACCCCTGAAATAAATTGGTTTACAACAATGCATAGGATTCAGAGATAAAGGATCACCTTTCAGAGTACGTCACCACACCATACCCACAACCAATGGAACTATGGTCTTCTACCACAGTCCATTGGCCCCTACATATTTTGCTCTCATACTCTCTCTTCCTTTCTGCTAGCCTCTACAGTCAGATTTCTAGGGTTTGCTATTGGTTTGGTTTTATCTTTTTTTTTTTTAAAGAATTATTTATTTATTTATACTAGCATTGGGTACAGTCAGAAGCACGGGAGGGTGAGAGAATTCACCAGAGCCAGAACGGGGAACAGAACAGGCAGACAGACTGAAGTACACTGCTGAGGGGAGCAGCAGGAGTGGCAGGAGAGGTCAGTGGCACCATGTGGGACCCTCACCCTTTGGCTGGGGATTGAATTGGCGCTGCAGAGGCTGCAGGCAGCTTCGCACTTCAGCGCTCAACCGCTGCGCCACCAGGGGAGGCCCTGGTTTTATCTTTGAATTGTTTCTCTATATTCCACATATAAGTGAAACCATCTGATCTTTTTCCTTCTGACTTACTTCATTAGCATTATCCCTGCCAATTCTATCCATGTTGTTGCAGATGGAAATATTTCATTTTTTTTTAAATAGTGGAGTAGTACTGTGTTTATATACCACATCTTTTTTTTTTCTTTTTAAAGATTTATTTATTTATACAAGAACAGGGGTACAGGCCAGATGTGCAGGAGGGTAAGAAGATTCACCGGAGACAGAGCAGGGAACAAAACAGGCAGACTGACTGAAATACACTGCTGAGGGGAGCAGCGGGCGAGTCAAGAGAGGTCTGCCATGCCATGTGGGTTGCTCTGCAGCTGGTGGGGTTCGAACTGGCACTGCAGAAGCTCTAGACAGTTTCACAGCACTGCACTCAATCGCTTGCACCACCAGGAAGGCCCTATACCACATCTTCTTAATCTACTCATCTGTCCTTAGGGACTTAAAGATTGTTTCCATAACTTGGCTAACATAAATAGTGCAGCAATGAACATAGTACACACATTCCTTCCAATTCATGTTTTTTGCTTTCTTAAGGTAGCTATCCGTGAGTGGGATTGCTGGGTCATATGGTAGACCTATGTTTAATGTTTTGAGAAACCTCCAAACTATAGAGGTTTTCTCTATAGAGGCTGGACCAGTCTACATGTCCACTAACAGTGTATGACAATTATTCTTCCTCTGCATCCTTGCCAACACTTGTTGTTTCTGTTCTTGATATGGGTCTCTTTTTCTGAAATGTAACTAGAGCCTTATCACAGAAATATGGAAAGTAACAATAGATTCAGGTGTTCAGAACACACTAAACTTTCCTCAATACACCTGAGCCTTAAGAAATATTTAAATGACATCAACTAACTATATGAAAACCACAAACCAGCAATACTTACATTCAAAATTCTCAATTTTGGACGTGAAGTCTTTTCATGACGAGAGCGACTTCTTACAGATTTTCGATAATGTCGTTTAGTAGTTCTGCCTTCATGTCTTCCACTGGATGATGGGACATTGTCATTGCCATCACTCATACCTGAAGCAACATCTGAATGTGCACTTCAAAAAAAAAAGTTAATAATATGAGATATAAGTGTATGATATTTATAAGTTTTATGCCATCCTACCTACCAGTCAAGGAGGGAGAATTTTACTTTTACATACCTGTCTATAGAAGAGACCAAAGTGGTAGGCTGGGTAGGCTGTGGCTGTGCTATTGGAATTGGCTCTGAAGGAGTAACCTGAGAGACTCCCTGAGTACTCTGTGAATAGAAAGGATAATTCAAATCTTAGCAGTGACAGATTTTATTATTCACCATCCCCAATAACTATTCCCTTTTTTTAATTATCCCTCCCCTATGTCTGAGAAGCACTATATTTACAAGTAATTCTCAATATTCGGCATCTAGAGACAGTGGTCTTAAAATTCCAAAGTAAATTTCTAAAGCTAATCTCTGGTAGAGACTGCATGGTGTGACATCAGCCAACATAGCTGCCAGGTAGTGAGAAACTACAACTTGCCATGCAGACAGCATCTTACCAGAAGTGTGCAATAGGGCAGGCAAAAGAAAGTGCAAAGATGATTCAGACCTTTCTCCTAGTAGGGCAAAAATGATTATTGGGAGCACAGCAGGATAAGATATTCTTATGACTGCCAATGGCAAGAATTTGTGAAAGGATAACAGTAATGGCTAAAGTACTAGCTAGAGAAGTGAAGTGCTAATAGGGTTATTCTCCAAGGCACACTCACTTCCCAACAGAACCGCCAGTGGCAACAAGGCCCCCACATTGGCATTTCATTCTGCTGTAAGAAAAAGTCATTCAGAAGTTAGTTTGAAATAGTTTCCAAATGAGTTCTAAATCAGGGGAACCTGTGTTACTCTTTTTTCATTTTTATACATTATATATGTGTTTTATATATAAACATGCAAGGAATTCAATTTACCTCCAGAGCAGCTTGCTGGGAGGATGTTGTGGGGGCTTGTTGTGCTAAACTCACTGCTGGTTGGGACACTTGAACCTGTCCTCCTATACTGCCCATAGGAACCAAAAGATTTGATTCAACATAAGGCTGCACCACTGTAGGAAAGTAACCTGGTGTAGCCAAAGCTTCTGTTGGCATGGGAGGGGATAAGAGCGTAGAAGGGTTGCAAACAGAAACCACGCTGGAAGAGGGAGCAATGTTTGAATCTCCTGGGTATTGTGGTGGTAGTCGAGATGGGAAGCCCTGTGATAGAAATGAGGAAGGCAAGTTAGTGCAGGTTGGATAATCAAATTAGCAAAACAGCAAGACATGGAAAAAAAAAAAGAGAGAAAAGCATACAGCAAAGAATAGCAGCTCATCTATAATAATTTAAAGATTTAAAGATGATTCTTGAAATGGCTGTCCAATTTCAATTTAGGGGATAGTCTCTACAATTATACTTTAAATAGCTGGGTTTTCTCCCCCTTTGGGAGACTATTTAAATAGGAACAATACTTAGTTACCTCTTAAAAAAACAAACAAATTACTTTTAGCAAATCTCAAATGGAAGAATGTGAAAACTCTCCAAGGTTTCAGTCATTCCTGTGATAACATGCTAACCTAAATCCAAACCCTGCAGCTTTTTATTGATACCATGTTGGCTAACTCTATTTACCTATTAAAAAAATTAGACCGATGTATGTTACTATTAGCCATATCTAGAATTTAATCAGATTATAGTGAATATAGAGACAACCATTCTCTCCCAAGAGATGTCTTAAGAAAAAACAGAAATGAAATCATCAGCTATCATCATCCTATCCTTTCTTAGAATTTTACTATTTAAGAGATCAACAACTTTTGTTATTGCTAGGTACTCTGATTAGATTTTCACGTCCTGGACGGTGTACTATTAGAACCAGACCCTCTGGTGCCCTTCTTTATGTCAGTCAACACAATACCTGGTACAGAACATCTCCAGAGGGTAGTGGAACCTCAGCAGCTTGTCCAAGGTTAGCTGGTATTCCCATGGACTGAACTGCTGGTTGCAGAAGCTGTGGGTGAACCTGACTTGGGAGCTGAGTCACAGGCTGCAGAAGGGTTGGAAGCTGACTAGGAACCATAGTTGATCCCCCTGGGATTGCAGCTGTTGTAGCAGATGAAGCCAAGGTAAGCAGAGGCTGATTAATGCCAGCTGCCATTGTGATGGGCAGGGATGAGAAACCTGTCTGAGCTGCAGACACATGAGGAGCTGATATGGGAATTTGAGAGACAGGGTATTGAGGGAGTAAGGAAGTAGGGAGTGGCTGTCCCACAGGGAGGAAATGAGCACCAGTGTGGACTGGAACGACTGAGGGTTGTGTTGCAACTGGGATCTGAGGTTCGCCTTGAATAGTTGGTACTGGCTGGGAAACTGGAAGCTGAGAAGGTAGAGAAAAACAAAACAGACTTTAAAAAAAAAAAAAAAAAAGCAAGGCTGCCAAAAGCAAGTTATATTAGCCAAAAAGAAGGAAAATTAAAAAATAAAATAAAACAATCAACCCTGCATACATTAGTGTACGTTAATATGCCACATAAGAATAGGGAAAGGATAGCAGGACACAGAGGCTGATAGACTGACTATTGTCCCATTATCTTTGATTGCAGAAAATTTTGCAAAGCTTTCATTGTTTAACAATAAAAAGAGGATCCTTTCATAGGAGGTTTTTTTTTTAACAACAGTTTTAATGAGATATATTTCACATACCATAATGCACTGGTATATTTGCTATCACTAAGTCTATACTGCTATTACACCAGTAGTGAAATTCAAGTGAAATTCCTTCCCAATGAAGTTAATTTTACCCAAATTGCTTCTATAATTCTTAAGTCTGACAAAAGCCTATAAAATTTGGTGTAATTATCTTATTCTACTGATTCTAGGATGCAAGCATCCCTTTCTACCACTTCATCATTTAAATATTTGTCAAACTGAGATAACTCTCACAATTGCATAAAATCGTACATTTCATAATTCACAGCACTTCAGATACAATAATATATGCCAGAAACACCACACTATGCCAAAAGACAAGCACAATAATCCCCAATGAAGAAAGATTGTAAAAGGCCTTTGAAAAAAGCATAGCTTCCCAAAGAGTACTTTGCAAGTAATTAGAAAGAAACCATTTGATATAAGGGGTTTTTATGACCTATTGTCAGTAGGCAATGAAGGAGGAAATAATATAAAGTTCTACATGAAAATACAGCATAGTTGCAAATCCAGAATATTAAATGTAGCTGATAAAATTCTAGAAAATGTCACAGGTTCAGTTACCAAAGCATCTTCATTTAACCCATCAATTTTAATACCTATCAAAATGATTTTAGACTGATAAACCCTTTTGGATTGTCACTGCTGTCAGTATATACCTATTTACCAACTACCATGGTTATGGACTATGGTATGTACCATTCACCAATGCATAAGGACAAAAGGAACAATTTTTGTCACGAAACTAACCAATTTCATTACTTTACTATTAAGGTAGAAGCCTATCCACACAAAAGGACAAGTTACATACAGATCCTTTTTAGCTTTCTTCCTTTAAGCTTTCTTTTAGAAATCAAATAGTTTACCTGTTTTCCAGCTGATACTTGAGGCAAGACCTGTGGAGCTTGAGGTTGACTCACTGGCTGTGTAGTAGTGGCCTCACTAGAGGTTGATGTCTGTGGAAGTGAATACTGCACTGCCTGTTGAGGAGGGACTGTTTGCTGTATTCCCTGCTGTGAGAATAAGATTTTATTACTCAGTTTTAAGTTGTCAATAGCACGTTTCCAAGGAAGTATTTGCCTAAGATTTTCACTGTCTATGTAATGGCAATTTCAGTAATCAAAACATGAACAAACCCAATGAATCAATTCCCCTTTACATTTTTCATGTTCCACTGATGTTTTTTTGTTGATAAACCACCAAGAACACATAACCAATGTTCCAAAACTTGAGTCACCACTAGTTCCTCACCCAACATCCTCCTTTATCCCAACAGCAGGTTATTTGCAAACATTTTTAGATACAATATCCAACATCCAAGTAATCCTCTCTTGTACGCCCCCCCCACCTTTTTTACTATTTCTGGTATTGGCTCTCAAATTTGTCCTATATTAAATTAATCCAATCTCTTCCTTTAATTTTTTCCCTTAAACTATTTTATCTACTGTATAATTAATTTGCTTGAAAAACTGCTTAATCAAAATAATTAAATTGTGAATTTACCATTTACTTATTTTACTGCCAAACTGAGGTTTTCTTCTTTGAAATAAAGGGCACTATCACTCATAGTAGGACAAAGAGAAAGATATCTGGAATCAGCCATGTGGTAGGGGCTCTGGTACAATATTAAACTTAATAACACAAGACATATAATTGTATCCAAATATTAAATTTTGTAATAAATCAAGCAAACAAACATAAGACCATCATCCCAAAATTAATGGCCCATTCCTGCATAACAAAAATGGAACTTTATATAGTTGACTATCAAAACTCTTTAATAGCTAAAATTAAAATTTTAAATAAAAAATTAATAAACACCTGTAATAAGAATTCTAATTATATCACACTATAAAATTAAGTGAAAATACACCTAGACCCTAATTCTCCAGAAGCAATTGCTATTGGTGGGTTGGCATACCACCTTTATGGGTTTTTGTCTTAGCATAAGTGGTGATTTACTCATAGGCACATTTTTCTTTTTCTTTTTGTTAAAACAAAACAAAAACATTCCCTTTCTATTAATACTGGTCTATGACATGTCATTTTTATTTCAGTTATCATTGACTTCAATATCCTAATGGTCAACACTTGATTTTTTTTTTTTTTGCTACTTAAAATAATGCTACAACCAATAGCCTTTCAAATGTTGTCCCTATCCAAACAACTAATGAGTTACTCTGCTGGTATAAAATAAGCTATTTGTTTGTTTCACATAGATATATATATGTGTGTGTGTGTGTGTATAGATATATATATATGTGAAACATCTATTTTAGATATAATCAATAAGTATTAGCTTAAGATGTAAACTATGATTTGATATATGTATATATTGCAAAATGATCACCACAATAAATCTAGTTAACAACCATTACTACAGTTAAAATTTTTTTTCTTATGACAAGAACTTTTAAGAACTACTCTCGGGCCTCCCTGGTGGCGCAGCAGTTGAGTGCTGGGTTGCGAAGCTGCCTGAAGCCTCTGAAGCGCCAGTTCGATCCCTGGCTGCTCCCCGGCCACTGGAGGAGGGTCCCGCATGGCACACAAACCTCTCCTGCCGCCCACTGCTCCCCTCAGCAGTGTGCTTCGGTCCTTCTGCCTGCTCTGCTCCCCACTCTGGCTCTGGTGAATTCTCTCACCCTCCCGCGCTACTGACTGTACCCAGTGCTTGTATAAATAAATAAATGAATGAATGAATAAATAATAAAAAAAGAACTACTCTCTTAGCAATTTTCAAATATACAGTAAGTATTATTAGTGATAATTGCCATACTCTACATTAAATCTCCAGAACTTTATTTTTCTTTGTATATTTATTATATATCTAGCCACCTTAATGAATATCCTATATTTTGCTAGTTGATACTCTGCAATATCTCCTCTCCTGATACTTATTTCTTACTTGTTTCTTACATAAATTAAAATCACTATAAGAACATGGAATATATTGGTGAAAGGAGTCATGTTTGTTTTATTCTTATTTATTTATTTCTGATAATCTATTCTTATTTTAACTTAAAAAATATGAACAAATGGCTGTTGAATTAGAAAAAGTTTATCTTTAGGAACTAAAATATATCATATATCCAACTATAAAGCAACTCAGGATGAAGACAGTTTCCCCATTCTCCCACTGAGAAAGGAGAATGAAAGAGAAAGCCCTTTTTGGTTAAACTCAATATATTTAAACTTTAAGGAATTCATATTTAAATAACTACAGTTATTTATGTCATTAATTTACATATCTAAAATTGCATATTACACAAGTATACTAATTTAGAAACATTGTACCTTGTGTCATTCAAGCTCTTCACATGCAAGTATCTTGATCTTAACTACAGCTATAAGAGCATAATACTTTCTCTTTAAGTTGGGTCTTAGGTAGAATCTGTGGTGACAAACACCTGTTTAATATTTGGAGAGCAGGGTTCTTTTTTTTACATTTGTCTTATAGGTTTACACTCACACAGTGTTTGTATTGACTTCGTAAAGTTATACATGTTGTGTACAATAACATACAGAATCTGGGAATAGTGAAATTGTTCCCCTAAGAGTAAGAAGTAAATCTATGCTTAATTTCCATCTTTTATTTTAAAACCAGTTTTGTAAATGTTGTCTGTAAACATTTTCAATCATATACTTATTCAAGGTCCTTATAAACACACTTGTTCTCATCAGTTTTATTTTATTCCATTAACAGTTTTTGGTTATTGTTCAAAATAAAGGGCAGTGAGAACACTGTAATATGAGAGTATGATAAAGGTTTGAATGTATGCTAATTCTCTTCTTTTTGCTAAATTTGAGGAAAAATCCCCACCATATGCTGAGCACACGATTACCTCTCTTCCCCAGCCCCATTAGTGTGGAACCATGTTTACATCACGATTTGGACTTAGCAGCTGTTTCCTGAACCTGTACCTTCATTAATCTGTGTTTTTAGCAGAAATGAACTAGGGGTTGATTTCTCTTTCTCTCTCTCTTTTTTTTAAAGATTTATTTATGCATACAAGAACTGGGGTACAGGCCAGAGGTGTGGGGGTGAGAGGATTCATCAGAGACAGAGTGGGGAACAGAACAGGCAGATCTACTAAAATACACTGCTGAGGGGAGCAGCGGGCGAGATAGGAGAAGTCTGCTGCGCCATGTGGGATGCTCACTGGCCTGGCCAGGGATTGAACTACTGCTGCAGTGGCTGTGGACAGCTTAATAGGTTGCATCTTAACCTCTTGCACCACCAGGGAGGCCCTGAGATCTCTCTCTCTCTCCCTCTCACATTTTTCTACCTTTGTGCCTTCTATTTTGCTAATACTGACTTTCCCCCCTCTCTTTTGGCCTAGAATATTCTTTATTCTGCATTTGGAGTTCAAATACTTCTCAGAAAACCTCATTCATATGGGAGAGATGTAAATCTCTCATGACATAATTGCATAGTAGCTAAATGGAAAGTTGTGGAGTCAGACTACTTGGATTTGAATTCTGTTTCTACTTTCTATAAACACCATAAGCTTGGGAAAATTACTCATTTTCTTCAGATCTCAGGCCACCTATAGTATATAAACAAGAATAACTTACAGGGCTTACATAAGGATTATAAAAACACAAGTAAGATGCTCTGCAAGTTACATATAATGTTATTTGCTTATTTGGTTTGTAGGCGCTCACATATGATTACTGGATTAAATAGGCTCCTTCAAAGTAGTCATATCTGATCCACAATAGTAGACCCTCAGTGCTTAGAGTACATGGCCCTTCAGAGCATGAAAATTAGTAAAAAAAAAAAAAACCTGTTTAATTAGTCAGGGATGGGAGCTGTCGAAAATGAGCAGTTTTATATACATATACCCTCATACTTTGCTTAGAATAACTGAGAGGCCTATGTGTCAGTTATACCTTAAGTGCATTTAGGAAGAAATGATACCTCTGAAAAGGTCAAAGTATATGGTAATTTTTTTATGCCCAATCACAGTAGATAATAGTCAACACTTCAGCTGAACAGGTACTATTTAGCATAGCAGTTTGGCATCATGCTTTGTATAAACTTGCCTCATGAAACCAGTTAAAACAACCTACACTGTGTACTATCAGTTATAGTCATGTCAGTATTGTACTAACGTGAATGCTTGATGAAAACACCTGTTCACAACCCTCAGTTGAACAGAAAGTAAAAAATACCCGATGACTCTACATGTGCCCCCTGGACATGACCTTGCTTGTGGCAATTACTAAGTTTTCCAGTAGGAAGAAGCTATTTTTGGTACTTAAGAGAAACCACAAGCTAGAAGGAACCCTTAAAAAACATGAAAAAAAGGGGAATTCTTTATTCACTACATTCTAGAATCCCATGAAATAAAGTAAATTTAAGCTAAAGTATACTTTTCCCTTATTCTAAAAAAATGAGACAGATGATTTTCTAAGGTTGGGCTGGAACCTGAGAGTAAGTAAAACAAAGTCAGTTCTGAAAAACAGATTCCTGGGCCTCCCCGGTGGCGCAGCAGGTTGAGCGCTGTGCTGTGAAGTGGTCCGCAGCCTCTGCAGCGCAGGTTCGATTCCCAGCCGGCCAGGGAGAAACCTGCATGGCGTGGCGGACCTCTCCTGCCTTGCCTGCTGCTCCCCTCAGCAGTGTCTCGGTCCATCTGCCTGTTCTGCTCCCGCTCTCTCTGGTGAGTTCTCTCACCCTCCCACGCCTCTGACCTGTACCCCAGTTCTTGTATAAATGGATAAATCTTAAAAACAAACAAACTAAAAAACAAAAAAACAGATTCCCAAAGTGGGGAGGGAACACAAGGGACTAGGTGGTGGGCCACAGGTGCTCTGGCGGTAGGTGCACTATGGCAGTAACACCTGAAGGGAGAGGTGCTATACTCCCCAAATACAAACAACAATGTAAACCAAAATTAGCTCAAAATTTTAAAAAAATGAAAGAATGAAATATATTTAAGATATAAAAAAGAAATTATTAATAAGAGACTAATAAAATACATGAAAATGGGAAAACTAAAAAAAAAAAAAACTACACGTGTTACAGATTTATAACCTTTATTTTTTTACAAAAGGAACTCCAGTAGCTAAAACAAATAAATGCAGTTTCCTGGGTGCCTTTGTAGAATCCTAAACCCTTATAGAAGATTACTTAGTACAAAAAATAACACTATTCTAGAAATTTTAAATGCTCTCTTGTAAATTTCAGTTCTGTCCATTTACTGTATAAGTGACCCTGGGAAAGTTCTAGGCTGCATACATTTCTTATAAATTGAGGGCTCAATTTTATGATTCTACTTAATTTAAATATCTAGCTATAATTTAAAAATAAGTCACAAAATAAAAGTTCTTAATAAAAAGCATCACTAAGGGCCTCCCCTGGTGGCACAGGCGGTTGAGCGCCGCACTGTGAAGCTGCCCGCAGCCTCTGCAGCACTGGTTCAATCCCGGCCAGCCAGTGAGGGTCCCACAAGGCGTGGCAGACCTCTCCTGTCTCGCCCGCTGCTCCCCTCAGCAGTGTATTTCATCAGTTTGCTTGTTCTGTTCCCCCTCTGGCTCTGGTGAATCCTCTCACCCTCCCGTGCATCTGGTCTGTACCTCCGTTCTTGTATAAATAAATAAATCTTAAAAAAAAAAGCATCACTGAAACATAATTAATTCTTGTCTCTACTGAGGCGATATGCATTTCGCCACATTTCCCCACAGAAAAGTCAACTACCTAATTCTTTTAACTTTACATTTATGGGATTGCCATTTACTACCTTTGCATACTTCTCTCATCACTGAACTCAATAGTTTGTTTCACTATCTTCTTAGTTTGGTACTAAATATACTTATAATTGTATATGTCCAAATACAAGATATATAACAGATTCCTTTGGAAAAGGAAAAATAGAGTTTATTCTTAATTTTGCTCAGTTTGTTAGTGTTGGCCTATGCCCGAAGACACTGGCACAGTAACAGTGCCTCTGTCCTCAACCAACTTTATGTAACTTTTATTGTGTATTCCTATAAGGGGTTGTTAATATAATCAAAGTAGAATTTGTTACAGGGTAGCAAAAATGTGACTCTTTGAGCTTAATTATAATCATAAATGGATTCAGATGCTTGTCTAGAAAAAAAGGACAGAAACATGACAAAGCAGATAGTAACTCCAAGCCCTTTAACTATAAAAGACAAGTAGCTGATTGATGAACCGTAATGTATCTATAACTAAACTAACCTTGTACCAGGAATACTAGCCTTAAATCTTAGTATCAGATAACTACATGATCACATGTCAGACCTAGTAGTAGCCTTTTGTACTAAGAATTAAAGGTTTTATTTCAAAAACTGACAGAAACGGTGGCCAATTTGTAGTCACAAAAACAAACTTCTTAGCGAACTATCAATGAAATACTAAAAGATCATAGGAAAATTTTAGTGACATATGTAGTGTTACAAATTTTATAGCCTAATAAATATAATGATTTTATAGGTGATACATATCCAACTGTGTCCCAGAGCATTATTCCCATGCAAATAATTACTATTCATTAATATCAGTGATGAACTAGATACATAATTTTAGAATTACCATTTTTACTATGGATACATTAGCATTGCAGTAATTTCCAGTCCCTTGAAGCTTCTGGAATAACCCCCCAAATCAGAAGTTAAAAAAAAAATTCCTAAAGTCATTGTTCTTAGGCTTTCATTCAGTGCCTCCTAACATAAAATCTGATACCCCATCCTGCAGAATAGAAATTATTAAAAAGGCACATAGTACATTGAAGTCAAGTACATAGAGTCAAGTACATTGACAAGCAATGACAAAATGCTCAAAAAGGGCCTCCCCAGTGGCGCAGCGGTTGAGCGCTGGCTTGTGAAGCTGCCCGCAGCCTCTGCAGTGCTGGTTTGATCCCCTGACACCGGGTGAGTGTCCCACATGGTGTGCAGACCTCTCCTGCCACCCGCTGCTCCCCTCAACAGTGAACTTCATCAGTCTGCCTGCTCTGCTCTGACTCTGGTGAATTCTCTCACCCTCCCGCACTTCTGACTGTACCCAGCACTTGCATAAATAAAGTATAAATAAATAAATAAATCTTAAAAAAAAAGCTCAAAAAAGGACAAGTCATAAACATAAATAGAAACAAAGCTGATTTTCTGTATTGTTAATTTCTATATAGCCATTTGTTGAAAGTAGATAAATTATATCAGTAACGATTTTTTTGAATTTCAATTTGTCTAATTTAGTAGATTATTCAAAAATACAGATTATCTAAAAGATTACTAAACACAAATGTTATGCCTCTTGATTTTCAAGAATTTAGCAAAACATTTAAATCAGGAATCTAACTCACAAAAGATGTTTTGACCATCTATCACTAACCCATAAAAAAGCAATGAGTTTTTCTCACCTGATGAGAATGTTGAATGGGCTGGGAAGTTGGAACCCCTGTTAAGCTACTTGAGGATGGCTGACCCTGGCTCTGCCCCTGTGCCTGAAGGAAATAAATGAATAAAACAAATTAAATAAGTTCTAAGGTACATAGAGGAAAAAGTGGCCAGGTTTTTGCAATAAACATTTCAGCTACTGGGAGTTTGCTTCAGAGCAAAATGAATATGTAGTTTGATTAAGTATGTATGGGAGAGACTGCTGGGGCATCTTTTTCTAAGAATAGGTTGGAGAAGGACCATATCACAGAACATATTTTGATCCCATATAAAAACTACTGATGATTAAAACCTAATTTGCCACTCACTGCTTGGTCAGGCTTTAATTTAACAGATCAAAATAATAACATTCATAATAAAATTATTACTGAAAATATAATTAAGAAAAAGGTAAGTGTAAAAAACTTTGTATCTGAAGAGACAGATGATAATACTAATTTGGTTCCTTTTGCTGTTTCTTGTAGTAATATGGTGACTTTTATTAAAAATGTAAAAAGAAAATCTATTATCAAATGCTAAGTACCTAGAGTGGTAGTTTATCATGGGCAATTCTGTTCCACCACCACCACCAGGAAAATTTTTGGTTGTCACAACTGAGGGAGGTGGCTGCTTAAGGCCAAGGATGCTGCTAAACATCCTATAATGCACAGAGCAGTCACCCATGACAAAGAATTATCCAATTCAAAATGTTAATAGCGTTGAATTTGAGAAAACCTGACTTAGAATATTCCAACTTTCAGGAAGTCTAAATGAGAAAGTGAGAAATGAATGCACAATTTAGAAAGGGTAGTTAAGGAAATAAAAAGGCTACGACTTTTGAGGTTTCATTTCAGTTTAGTGGGATTTCTTTGAAGTTTACTTGGGTATAACATCACATTCCACTGCACCTTTAAGTATTCATTTTTTTTCTGCACTGTAGCTGTAAATTAACTACCTGATATTTGAAATTTTACTTTGGAAAGTTTAAAGGACAATGGCTGGTAGTACATTAGTATTTACAGTAAGGAGTAAGGAGTATACTGCATGCCAGGCAGTGTAATTTTCAAATTTCTGGATCTTTTTGCTTCTCAGTACTATTCTAAGTAACTGATACTTTATATACATTTGCAGGGTTGGTTATGCTCCTAGTGGGGGAAGAAAGTAGGAAGAACATAGAGTACCTTACGAAAGAGTGGACTATCTAAAAGATCCAAATCATGTCTTAAAAATGTAATTACATATAGATTTCATGACATTTATACATTTGCTAAAATGTATCAGTTTCTGATTTCACTTCTTGAATTCTATTATGTCCATTACTTTTTATTTGCATGATAGTGTATACGCTCATACTGATGAATAGCAAAATTTAAATTTGTTGAGAAAAAAGTAAGATCACGAGGTATCTAATGTTCCTTAACTTGCAACATATCACAAATTCTTAAAACAACAAAAACCCCACCACTGACACTAGTTTCTTAGTTGCTAAAAATTAAAATCAGTCTATTTTATGGATTAATATTTTACTTAGTCATATAGCACACAGTTACTTGTTTGATGTCATTTGAAAAAGGCACCTTCATTTGTTAAGGCAATTTCCTAGGATACTCCCTTTCTCTTTTAGTATCTTCCACACTAATGAAAATTCAGTGCATTTTTAATACTTCAAAAAAGTATTCATTATTTACAGGAAAAAAAGTTATTGTTTATTATTCTTAAACTAGTCATGTTTGTTTCTAGGAAGAAATACTTCACATTACTATTTTTAAGTAATCAATGCTGAGTTAACTGCACATTATAGATATTCGTATTTTTTCTCCACTATTAATTGAAAACATACTACAAATAGATAAAATTGTTTTTCAGGAATAACTAAGATTCTAACTTTTGTACTTTTCCAAGGATTTGCACATATTACACATAAATTACGCAGTTTCTCTCTCATATTTCTTAAATACAAGTAGTTTGTAATCCGCCAATGTGGAAAATACATATAAAATTAAACAATATTCCTCATCAATGGAAATGAGGGATAGAAAACTTAAATGTAATGGTACAGAGTAGGGTAGTTTAAAAGGATTGTGGAAGTTTTCCTATAACCTGTGGATGGAGTGTAGATCCTCCTGAAGATAATGAAGCAGATAAGACCTGCTGAGAGGTGGTTCCTTGGGGGAAACAGAAGAAAAGTGGGGATTCTTGCAACACTGTCTGAGGCAGACGGATAAAGGGTAATGAGACGTCAGAGCCAAAAGGTGCTGCTGCACCCCCTGTAGGGGGAGGTGATTGAAAATCACTGGGATCTGAAGAAGTAATTTGTGAGGAATCACTGGAATATTCTGGGCTTCCTATTGGCCAGTTCTGTCCGATAGGCTCTACCACAGAAACAGTCAATTCTGGGGCATGGTAATTATGCTGTTCTTCAGTCACAGGCTGCAGGCGGCCATGTAATCCAACTGATTGAGGAGGCGTTTCTTCCTGACTTAAGTCCACTGTAACCTGTTGATTTCGGTAAACACGCTGTGGTAAAACTCCTCCTCCTTCTCCTGAAGAGGAGCTTGGCGTGTGAACATGAAACTCAAATACACAATTGCTTCTGCTCTCATTGTTATGAGTTAACACAGCAGGCGCAGAATGAGGAACAAAGACAGGGTGAAATTTCAAACGTGCAGCATCTGTACTGATAGGTGCAGAAACACTAGAGAGGGGAGATCCTGGACTCAATCCAGAATCTAATCTTAAATTCTGAAGGTGTCCTACCAGGAAAGCCTGTCCAGATGGAAATTCAAAGACAGAAGTTGAAGTAGGGCCCCCTTGGACTGGCTTCTGTTCAGGTATCTGTTTCATAGGGCTTGAGAGTACTGGTGAGTTGTACGGAATACCCTCATACTGTTCTGCCACCTGGGTCTGGTAATGTACCCCAGCTAGATACACTGCTTCCTGAGGAATAAAATAGTGAGCTTCTTCTGGAAGTACTAGTCCAGGTCTATAGTCACTGTAAATTTGAGCTGGTTCAAACACAGGATGGACCTGTATCTCACATGGCTCTCCAGTTATTTTACTGGTTGTAGTACCCAACAAAACTACGGCCTCTGGTGTCCAGTTAGTTGGGTTGCCACCAGGTGGAAGAAGATTTTGGCCAACAGTCCTCAGCAGGGGCTGGAAGTGGCGTGTTTGGGCTTCCAGGAAGGAGGTGCTCTTACGCCGCTGGGAAACTGCCACCTTCGGTGGGCAGGTGGGAGGTGGTGAAAAAGAAACTGGACGTTCATGAATAGTTGGGAAAAATATCTGTGATTCTGGGTATGTTGGGGTCCCCCCACACGGATGCGCCATGGACTGAGGCTGTATCAACATGAATAAGACAAGTAATTCATACATTCATATGTGAAATTACATCAGACATGCACAACTGGGTAGCTCTGTGTAACCCAATGAAATGGTTACACTATATTTATAATTAATAAAGAAATAACAATGCTTTTGGAAATTATGGGCTTAGTAAAACTCCATTAAATACATCCAGGGTTAATAAAATTATTCTGTGAGACTCTTTGCTTTGGATAAAAACTGCTTTTCCATAACTTTTCTGAAAGCAAACAGAAGATCTTAACTTTCTTAGTGAGTATTCTGACTGTACCACAATTAATATACTCACTTTGAAAACAACATACATCATAGCAGGAAGAATAAGGCTTAACAGAAGACAAGCCCGACGATTTTTATTAGAAACATTCTTCAACCTAAACTATTGCATAAGTCTTCCTATATTCTTACTATTCTGTGTGGAGTTAGAGATTTCAGTGTTATTATTGTCTTTATCAACCAATTTAGTCTCCTAAGCAGAAATCAGAAGAGATTTTTTGGTGGCTTGTAAAAAACACACCACTTGACTAGTGACAGTAATGTTTTTCCTGTGTAACCCAAACTACAGGCAGTTAATTTTACTACATGAAACATGTTATAGATATCAAATCATTGAATGTCCGCTTTTTTGACCTTAGTTAATGGTTGAATAATTTGGTGTTCAAATCAGATGAAAAGAATATAATTAACAGTCAACCTGATTTGATAGCACTTTTTGTTCACATAAGTTCTAGATTTAAGATTCCAAATTTAGAATCATACCATGCCAAATGCACAGTGTGCATTATAATAATCCACTTCCATCATTTCTATAGAGGAGACCCCTCTCAATTTAGCAAAATGGCTTAATTATTATTTCTTCACAACACCTAAAGAGGATTTCTATTTTGAATCAGAATGCGCCATCTAAATGTTGTTATTCAAGAAATACCCCCAAGTCATAAAGAACTACATAATTATTCTCCTAAACAAAAATCTGAATATTTGGGAGCTGTTAGATCAGAATGTAAACAATATATATTTTCTATATGGAAAAGCAGCAGCAAGGTCCCACAGTGTTTAAAATAACTTTGAAAGATAGATCACTCACATACATAAAGGGGGCCAAAGAAAATCATATGTACTATATATGGATAGATGTATTCATTAGATACAAAGTTCCATCTTCTTCAATTTCAGAAAAAAAATTTCCATGAGGGAATATCATATGGCTTTTTGTTTCTTGACACGTTGTTTTAAATTTATAACAAATTAAAACCAACTTTTTACTCTATTCTTTAAAGATAATGAGAAAAATTGGACTCATCCAGTATCATTAGTGTCTCTTCAGAATAAAGGAGAAAAATATTTAAGTTATGTTAAAGAGAAAATTTCCTTTTTCGCCAACAATGAATTTTAAATTAAATACACATATTCTTTACTAGGATTTGAGAATGCAAGGGTTTATATATGTTCGTAGGGCACAGGAGGATATAACAAAAGCTAAGTTTTATTGCAGACACAATATACGTTATACATGCCAAGAGTATTCTCTCTCATTATACCTCCTTGTCTTTTCCTCCCCTTTAAAGTCTTGTAACAAAAAACGTTCCTAGGAAGAACTGGTATCCTCAAAGCATAATGTATTATTACATTCAGTTCTGTTCAACTATTGATAATGTTTATTAAAATTCTTGATGCCTGGATGTATTCATTGGTAATAAATTTTCGTTTGTCAGGAAGTTATGGTTACATACAGTACTGACAAAGAGGGAAGGCAGGCTGGAGCGTCGGTGCTTGCGCTGAGAGGCAGAGTGCATAGGCAGGACACTCTCCAATGCTTTAGAAAGCTTTTCGGCAAAAGTTTCCTCAGGGGCAGTCCGAAGGAGGGAAGGAGAAAGAGGTGCAGACAGCACTGGTGGTGGGGTAGAAGGAGCACTGGGAGAGATGCGGGACAAAAAGGGAACAGCAGAAAGATGGGGAACACAAACCGACATGCTACGGCCACGACGAGGCTAAACAGAAAACAAACACACATGAAAACACAGTACTTTGAAAATAAAATAACCAAATGTACAATGATAATATGGCATAGTTGACATAAGGAAATGTTCCATTATCCTCCAATTTCACAAAGCCAATTTTTGGAGGAGAGATATAATTCCATAAAGCACATTAAACAGATCACAATATGCTCTCTATACTGTTGGTCAAGTACAGGTTTATGAAATTAATGACCAATTATCTTCCTAAAGAGTCTGAAATAACATCAATTATTATAAGTTTAAGAATAAGAATGACCAATTTATTGAGATAACAGAACAGACAGGGGAAAACAATGTATACTGGCCTGTAGTTTGTACAAATTTATTAAGATTAAACAAGAATGAATTTTATTAGTTTAATGTACATTGTAAGATGTAGGAGAATTGAAAGATTGGATTACTTTGCAGGAGAGCTCTGCTAACTTTAGAAAAGGTTTCTGCATTCTCTTTTAGAAGGTATCAAATTTAAAAAGTTGTTGATTCATAGTATTTTATTTATTACACTCGCCTATGTTTATCTGTAAAGGGAAAATGTCAATTTTCTACTAGGAAAAATATTAGCTTTCTAGCAATAATTCACAAGATATAGAAAATACTGTGTATTTCTACAAAAGTAGTTAATGAAAAATATCTTATGTTTGAATAAAGAGGAACAGAACTTTTCAGATATATCAGAAATTGACTGAGGTTTACAAAGTTTGAGGTACTTTAACATAAAAGTTTGAATACAGCTACAAAGTACTATGTCTAATACTGTAAGGTGGTCCCGAGCAAATCGTGAATTTCTTTTAGATATTGTGAACTGTGTAACTAATTGCATTTTCTTTTCTAAAATTGGCTGAATAGAATGCTTTGAGCCAAATTCGTGGCCCATGAGTGTATACAAGTATCATCATTTGATTACCTTGTTAATTCTGGTTCTATTTTTCTCTTTTTCTAATTTTTAAATTCTACTTCTAAATAACAAATTATAGCCACCGCAAATTCCTTTGGTAATAATATAATTATGAAACTGAAAAAAATCTTCAATATTTATTACCTTTCAAAGATAACTCCATAGAATATTGTCAGTAAAAGGCAAGAAATAGTCTGCTCTATAGTATCAACAAATACAGCGATGTTTGTGGCTCAATTATTTAAAATCTCATGTCCAATTCTAAAATAGAGATGTGATGATCTGCACCCTATGATGAGGAAAGTCAAGAGACTGAAAATAATCTAGAAAAAATCTAGTTATGATAATCTTGGGAAAAAATCAATTAGACCAAGAATAGAAACTGATAAAAAATGTTGACAAATAATATTCATCAGAAAAAAGGAATACATTTTCTATAGCATGTTCATTAAGTTTTTCTACCCTACCAATTTATTATTAAGGTTAAAAATTAGTTGTTAAAACATTAGTACGGTAGTAGTTTTGTGTTACTGTGGCCATTCATCTTAAGACCTAGCCAATGCAGGACTAATGAATGGATTTTAAAACAAACAAACATCTTTTATTCCAAGCTGTGGGATAAAAGACCAGAGCAAGCAGAAGTATTTTCTTAAAAGAGAAAGATAATCTTTCAATATAGAATGAGAGCTCCTCAAAATTTGTATTAAAAACTTCTAAGGGGCTGGGGGGGAATCTGTGTACCTAAACAGCTCACTAAGCGAATGGTATACAGTGACCAGTTATTCTCTACACTCCAATTCCTTTCTAAAGAGTTTACAGAAGGTCAACGAAAGAATTATCTGGTGACTTACTTTAACATCTATATGAGAAGAGTGGCTAATGTAAAACATGGGCTCATAATGTGTGTGTGTATAAATGCATACAATATTTCAGGAAATAATCTCCATATTTGAATCTGTAAGTAAATCAGTAACAAAACAGATACCAAATAAAGGGAAAAAGCAAATGAACATGTACTAGGGAAGGAACCTGTGTCCAACAGACTTTAAGGCAGGAACAGCATAGCAACTGATGATTAAACATAAGCGCTAAATTAAACAGTCATACAAATAAAGGACTCCTTTACTCTATAGTACTCACATGCAGCATTCTATAATGGTTTGAAGATCTTACCTGTGTTTTATATAATAAGAAATCTTACAGAAAATACTTAGCAATTTTTGTAGTAAGTTTTTGAAAAATTCTCCTCATTCCCACACCTCAACCATTTGAATGTCCATTCATGATGCTTTGTGAAGATTCAACACTAATGTGCTAAAGAGAGCATTACTTTTAACCAAATGCAGATTAGTCTAAATCTTATACATAGCTACTTCACATAGGAAGTTCAGCTAATTCCCACATATCAATGTATGTATCCTACCCTGCCTGAACTACTCCCGTAATACTGTATAATAAACCTTTTCTTTAAAAATGCACCACCTATATTTTCCATTTCAAATTGGTGTTACTACTTAGATATTAGAAAGAATGTGAACTAACACATTATCTATTGCTCTGACTATAATTTAACTCTCTCTCATGCATTTACTTACCATACTTGAGGGTGGATACACCCCATGGGGCTGAGATTGTGCTTGGACAACAGAAGCTGTATGCCCTGGGATTGTGCCAGTAGAATGTGCCTGTTCATGCTGGGATCCATATGAAACTGTCTGCTGGCTGCTCACTCGAGATTCTGTAAAGACAGATGATCCCTGACCACTGTCAACTGTCCCATCAGCTGAAAGAGAAAGGAATTGCCAAAAAACAGAGAGGAGAGAGACAAATCACAAAAAGAAGGTCCACATTTCCCCAACACAAGCTCATGACTGTAGTGTTAGCCAGTTTTTCCTTTGTACAGAATTAAACTAAATAAAAATGAATACTATTTTATTAAGTATATTTCTATGTTTAAATGAAAGATCCACATGGGAAAAAGTTTTAATGTTTTAAAAATATTCCCTGGCTATCACAGAATCTTATTACCTGAAGAATAAGGGGAATAAAATAGAATAAGGGGAATAAAATATGTCTGCCTTAAGTTCAACATAGCTTTCAAAGCCTAATTTTGGAAACTAGTAGATTCTTACTGTTAATAGTCAATCAATCAATATCATAATTACATTAGATTTTAATCTATATGTTATTCAGCTGAACCATACTAATGGGTTCAGTTATAAGTAGTTAAGATAAACTTGTTATTTATTATTATTATTAATTATATCTGATTTTAAGGAACTGTGAAAAGTAAAACCTGTAAATTGGAACTTGCAACATGTTATAATCTGTAACATTATACCCTAATCGCATTTCTTCACTGCCCCACCCTTCTATTAGTCATGGATATAAGTAAGAAGAAAAAGAAAAGCCAGATGGCATCCATTTCAAATTTCTTGTATTTAGATCCACAATTCAAAGCCAAGAGGCTGATGCAAAATGACTGAGATAAAAAGCTAATTGGAATTATCATTAGTGTAGGGCCTCCCTGGTGGCACAGCGGGTTAAGCGCAGCCCTGTGAAGCTGTCCGAAGCCTCTGCTGCGCTGGCCAGGGAGATTCCCACATGGCGCAGCTGGCCAGGGAGATTCCCACATGGCGCAGCAGACCTCTCCTGTGCCTGCTGGTCCCCTCAGCAGTGTATTTCGGTCCTTCTGCCTGTTCTGCACCCCACTCTACCTCTGGTGAATCCTCTCATCCTTCTGCGTCTCTGGCCTGTACCCCAGCTCTTGTATAAAAATAAATAAATCTTAAAAAAAAAAAAGTATTATGGGACTCCCCTGGTGGCGCAGCAGTTGAGCACTGGGCTGCAAAGCTGCCCACAGCCTTGGCAGCGCTGGTTCGATCTCCAGCTGCCGGGCGAGGGTCCCACATGGCGCACAGACCTCTCCTGCCACCCGCTGCTCTTCTCAGCAGTGTACTTCAGTCCTTCTGCCTGTTCTGCTCCCTGCTCTGGCTCTGGTGAATTCTCTCACCCTCCTGCGCTCTGACTGTACCCAGTGCTTGTATAAATAAATAAATAAAATCTTTTTTTTTTTTTTTTTAAAGAAGTATTATTAGTGTAACTGTCCACTTCCCAAAATACTTACATAACACAGATATACTAGGTTGTTGGTATTGTAGTTGTTGATGTTGATCTGCCTCAGGTTCTTCAGGTTCTACTTGTGTAGAAACAGAAGCTGAAGTGGTAGAGGCAGTAGGTATGCTAGTGCTAGCAGAGGGGAGTTGCTTGATTGCAGTCTGGCCAGCACTTGATTGTTGCTCTGCTTGCTGTTTGAGACTGATCTCTTCCTGCTTTCTTTTTTCTTGCTCCTCCCGGACCAGCTGTCGTTGCTCTCGTTTTCTCTTAATTAATGACACTCTATCTTTGATGGCTTTTGCCATAGTCTTATGATCACCTTCACAGACATACCCAGATTCTACCTACAGGATAAAATGGTGTATTAGGAAACAGTAGGATATCAAAAGAAAACAAATCAAATAAAACCCAAAAAAAGGTACTTCTGGGGGGCCTCCCTGGTGGCACAGGGATTAAATCTCAGCACTATCAAACTAATACCAGCCACTGTGGCAGAGTTCGACCCCCTGGCCAGCGAGCTACCCACATTGCAAAACAGACCTCTCCTGTCTCATCTGCTCTTTGCAGCAGTGTAGTTCAGTAGATTTGCTTATTCATGCTCCCCACTCTGTCTCTGGTGAATCCTCTCACCCCCTGGCACCTCTGGCCTACACCCCAGCTCTTGTATGCATAAATAAATAGAATAAATCTTTTTAAAAAAGGTACGTTGGCAAAGAAAAAGCAGAGAAGAAAATAATCTCTTGGTACTGGTCCTAACCAAACTCTGAAATTAACTGGTCTGTTTATGCATTTCCTCACCATTTTTATAGATATTCATGGGGCAGGTGGTATCATTTTTGGAGAAAACATGCAAGATGGGCATACAATCCCATCTTTACCACAATAAAACAATGATGAACCTAAAAAACGTTTTTATACCAAGAAGGCTTCATTCTATTCTATTTACTCTTATTTGCTGTTTACATGTATCCATTAATATTAAACCATGTTGCTTTTACTTTCTTTCACTAGACAACCACTAAACAGAATATATGAAGATTAAAAAAAATAAAATCAACCTCAAACAGTATAAAACACTAACAATTAAAACTGGGCCTCCTTGGTGGTGCAAGGGGTTTAAGTCTCAACAATAGCCACTGCAGGATGTGTTCGATCCCCGGCCAGGGAGCTGACCCACATGGGTCAGCAGACCTCTCCTGTCTTGCCCGCTGCTCCCCTCAGCAGTGTATCTCAGTAGATCCACCTGTTCTGCTCCCCACTGTTTCTGGTAAATCCTCTCACCCCCAGCACCTGTGGCCTGAACCCCAGCTCTTGTATGTATAAGTAAAACAAATCTTTAAAAAAATGTATCTCTTTCATACCTGACACCTTCTCAGAGGCAGCTACTATTGAATGGTTCCTAAAAATTCTAATAGAGATACTCTGAATATCTTTCCATAAATAAATGGATAGCTTAGGTACTATGCCAAGCTTAAAATTGGTGAAATGTTCCCTTTTTGATGGTGCTCTTTCAGACATACTTAAAAAATAATTCACCAAAGGTTGACTACTACTAATTGATAATGAAAACTTTTAAAATAAAAATAATTTGATATATTTATAGAATTTATCCAGATGATTGTTCAAATGCTAACATAACAGTGTTCAGAAAACATAATTTGTCATTCTGACTAAAAAGGCTTAAGCAATTTAGAAGTCATTCAACTTACAGACTTTCAAAATAACTTCAGAGCATTCTAACTCCATATACTTAATGATCTAGTCACTATTTATTCATACCTACAGATATCTACATCTAAATATCTTTGAAAGGTCATTAATCAACACAATTGTATGCCACTGGGATGTGTCATATACACTGCTTCATACACTGCTTTTTTCGCTTAACAGTGGAAATGTACATGAATTTACATCAATTTTCAAGAGCTTCTAAGTATTAACTTACCATTTCTTGAGCAACATCCTCTGGCACATCTCTCTCCAAGTCAAAAGAAAACTCAATAGCTTCATTGTCTTTGTATTTTCCCTTTAGTTTCTTAATATCTTCTATACGTAGCCATAATTTAATGGCTATTTTTTCTCCATCATCTTCTTCTGCTAATTCTACCCGTACCCCTGTTTCCTCCTGGAAGAAGGCATGGTTCAAAAGGTCTTTGATAGAATATCTACCAAAAGAAGAAAAACAAAAACAAAACACCATTAGATTGAAATTGGTAATTTTCAAGTGTGGTGCGGTTGATTATTATTATACTTGCAATAATGAAAAAGGACCAGTGAAAAGAAAACAAAGGACATTTTATAATTCATTTTTATATTTGTTCCATTTGAACAGTGATTGTAGAGTTTTACTCTCAAGGTATGGAACATCACAACAATCTCATCTATGAGTAACAGCTGAAAGAAACCTTTTTAAAAAATCTAATGATCTAATCCTACATTATTTAGCTGTATACTAAAAACAGCAATTAGAAATAGCTTACAATAAAATAAAATTAAAAATAGCCCAAAATACCATGGCTTCAATTACCAAAATTATTTGCATAGCATTTATAAGTTAACAAAAGAACCTCACATACACGATGTCATCTAATCCTTGACCTATTTCCAATGAGGTATGATTTCCTGAGGCTGAGGGAATGAAAATCTTGCTTATAGTTATCAAAATCATATATGGTGAAATCAAAACCCAAAACTAAATCTTTTGATTTCTAGTTCAGATCTTTTACTGCAACAACCTTTATTTACCTGAATAAATTCTTCAAATTCATTGTTCAACAACTTTTGTATTAGGCAAGCAGAAGTCTGATTATAGAACAATTTTCACTAGATAAATGGTCTCAAAATACCAGTGTAAACTGTTCCATCCAGGGAAGAAACAGTAATATTTTCTAAGATAGGGAACAAATGTTCTTTTGTTTATAGTAAAATAAGTTCTTAAAGAGATTAAGGACTCTCATTTCCAACCTGTGTATAAAAATAGAAACCCAAACTGCCTTTCTACTAAAAAGCCCGGAGGAGCATAATGTTTTAAGCTCTTCCAAACAACAAACTTTTGAAGAGAGTGGAAAACTGGAGAAGTAAAGATATGGAGTTCTTTAATTTGGTTGATATACCAGATTGTCCACATTCTTCAGAAGGCAGATTATGCTCACCTTACAATTTATATTTATACTGGCTGGTCTACTTTTTCTTTTTGGAGGGTGAGGTGGATGGTAAGGTAGACTATTTTTCAAAAACAGACAATGGATCTTTGCCATGCCTAACAGGTGATGAATCAGCTATCTGGCAGATCAGATATTTGCCACACCTCTGAGAAAACTCCTCTGTTAGTAAATGACTAAGTTAATCTTAATCTCCTCCTAAACTTTGGATAAGTTGCCTCATTTTACTAAAGGAATTTTGATGTTTTGCTCGTCTTCAATTCTGGCATGACAGCGTATCAAAAACTGAATAGCTGAGTTGATTTTAAAGAGCCAAGATTTTATTTCACCTTTCAGAATTAATGGATAAAGGACTAACAAACAGATCTGCTGTGTCAGAGACTGAACCCTACTGAACTTTATAAATTTATGAAGCTGATGTTCTAAATAAGTAGTTTTCACTGAATGTAATAACTGTGTGTAAGGTGGTTCTGGTTTACTTAAAATCTATCAAACCACATTTTTACAACATTCTAAGCATATCAAATATGAATACCCTCAATGAATAGAACTCTAGTTTAAAGGTTATTACATGACATAAATGGAAAACTAATCACTAGCTAAATATTAACTATATCTTAGATTGACTTTTTGTTTAAGCAAAATACAAGATCAAAAGAGGCAACTTACCTTTCATCTTTGTTTTGTCTAATGCATCCTTCAATAATTTCCTTCACTTCAGGAATTGCAACTTTGTCAAAACTGGCTGGCTTCACCCCCTGAAAACCATAAAAATTGTAACAGAAACACATTACCCTGGGCAGAATGTTTGGATTTGATTTTTAATTGACTTGGTAAGGGTGCTACTAGGTTGCCTTCTTACATCCTGACTCTTTTTCTGATTTGCCTGAAATAGCTGTTCTTTGCAGGATCAAGAGTTGGGTAGTGGCAATTCAGCACTCACAAGAAAAGAAGTAATAGTGGAGTCACTTACTCCTATGGACTCTATATGAAGCTAAAGAAAATTTTTGGTCAATGACAACATCTTCTGCTGTGTTTCTGGTAAAGGAAGTTATTAGATGAAAGGGAGGTCAAATGTTCTAACTGGTAGAGCTTTTGTTCGACCTTATTCCCTAACACATTAATCAACATAAGATTTCACTATCTTGAATTCTGAACAGTGATGAATTCATGTATTTATTTGGCGGGTATTATATTATTATAGTACTCTAACAAATTCAAGTATACAAGGAATTAAGGATTTGGATAGTCTGACAACTGAAGAGCAAATTACCTTGTATATATAAAACAAAATGAAAAGTGATCTTAGAGCCATACTGAAATATAAGTTTTCTAATTAATTTCAGAAGAAAACTCCATGCCATCATTACATATAAAACTAACTAGCATCATGGTGATATTTTAGATTCTTCATAGGTGTATTTTTTTTGGCAAATAAAATTTTCATTGTGTGGAAAATACACATAACAAAATGCTACTATCTGAGAGGTAGTGTGGAGAATAACATCTCTATCTATTCCTCATCAAAGTAATCACATGGGTTGAGCTGAAGTAGCTATACTGATATACCATCCAAGTGGTACTCTGAAAATCAATAAACCCATAAACACATGGAATGGGAGTTAGGGGAGAGGAACCAGAAATGTTACTGATTAAATATAAATTCTAATCATCTATTATCTCAGTGTCAAGATACAGCAAAACAAAATTAGTAATAATAATTAGATAAATCACAGAAATACACTTAGTCTATCTGACTGAAATGAAATACATTAAATGGTTAGCTCAAAAATGTCTTTAAATACCTGAACTGTGTGGGATAATTCTCATTAATTACTTACTGCATTATTCAAAAGTCCTGACTGGAGGATTTTACCTCTAGGGCAAACTTTCCACAGCAAAGAACTGTGTAGTAGGGCTGATCCTAAAGTTAAATCCATTTACTAATAAGGTTCTTTTCTGAGTAAGACTGCAAAGATTAATTACTATTTGCATTTTTCTCAGTCTTCTCATTTTTCAAACCCAGCTAAATTTTCCTAAACTGTCTTTGTCTTTACATATAATTTCAATAGAAACAAGAACATAATGCTACTCAAGCAAAAGACTGCTTTAATTGAGCAAGTTGATATATTTCAAACTAAGGCTTAAGAAAATGGGGATTGTTTTAAGGGGGAAAAAAAAGACGCTAGGGCCTCCCTGGTGGTACAAGGGGCTAAGATGCAGCCTATGAAGCTATCCACAGCCACTGAAGCACGAGTTCGATCCCTGGCAAGGGAGGAGACCCACGTGGTGCAGCAGACCTCTCCTGACTTACCCACTGCTCCCCTCAGCAGTGTATTTCAGTCAATCTGCCTGTTCTGTTCCTCACTCTGTCTCTGGTGAATCCTCTCACTCCCCATACCTCTGACCTGTACCCCAGTTCTTGTATGCATAAATAAATAAACCTTAAAAAAAAAAAAAGAGAATAATGTACACTAAAAGTTCTTTGGTAGTTCTAATTTTTTTTTTAATATATTTTTTAAAGATTTATTTATTTATTTATACAAGCACTGGGTACAGTCAGAAGCACGGGAGCGTGAGAGAATTCACCAGAGCCAGAGCGGGGAGCAGAGCAGGCAGAAGGACTGAAGTACACTGCTAAGGGGAGCAGCGGGCAGCAGGAGAGGTCTGCGTGCCATGTGGGCCCCTCCTCCGGAGGCTGGGGAGCAGCCAGGGATCGAACCTGTGCTGCAGAGGCTGCGGGCAGCTTCGCAACCCAGCGATCAACCGCTGCGCCACCGGGGAGGCCCCGGTAGTTCTAATTTTTTTAAAAGAGTCTTCTGTTTCATTCTAGCATAGGCATATTGGAAATTACTTGAATTCAGTGTAAACTGGACAAGTAGACGTAGTTCTCAACTTCTCATTCTCTGCCCAGCAAATGGGGATAATCCCTGCCTAGCTTACCTAACCTATATTTATGGCAGCTAGAATTAAATATGATATCTAGGTTGAAAGATCTTTGAATAATTAAAATTTGCTGATCTAAGGTCACCTTTGAGTTCAAAGGCAATCACCAAAAAGAAGGCTTTGCATTAGAAGGAAGTGAAGAATTCTCTTGAAAAATAATCACCAAGATCCATAGTGAACCTGCTTTTATCCTTGATTATCCTTAATAATAATCCCCTCCAAGCAAGCACATAACATTGACTACTTTACAAACAATTCCTATTTATAAACAGAAATAATAATTGAACAAATTAGGCACAAGATCACAAGAGCAAAACCAGAAACTATTGTCACCATGAAATTAACTGGTTATGCTTTCTCTAACAAAGGCCAAGATTTAGGTAAGGAAAATTTCATATCATTGCTATATTCAGTGACATTACTGCCTTTACGAACGTACAGCAGGTGTCAAGCTAGCCAATAAAACTGAGACAACCCTTACTGGACTAGCAATTGGCCTTAAAAGATGAATGCTGCTTACTATTACCCACTTAGATAATGAAAAAGTAAGAAGAAATTTCACTAGTCAGCTACCATTAACAAACTAGAATTATTAACATATATAGCAGAGGTATTCTGAATCATTTCAGAAGAAGCAAGAATGTATTTACAGGGATCACAGCATATTAAAAATAACCCAAAAATGTAAAAAATGAAAATGAAACCTCACTGACCCTGACAGTGGTCCACAGAAAAGTTGGGCTTTGTAACAGACACCCACTTAAATAAAAATTACAGTTTTTAATATACTCATCATTACTCATTGGCTTCTTGTTCTTGAGAGATAAGAGAATTTAATACACATTTTATAACTGATATTTTAATTAAAAAACAACTGGTCTACATTACTTGCTACTCTAAAACATGGTTTTAAGCACCCAAGAAAACAAGGTAATGATTAAGAAGTTGTTTTAAAGGTAAAAGATAGCATCTTAATTCCTTTACTTCACATATACTTCAACAAAGACAATCAAGTTAGAGCCTAAAAAATCTTCTAAATGTCATTCCTTTACTTTATGGATTTAGATACACTCAGATCCTATTCTAGTCCTGTTCTGACCAGTAAAAGCAAAGTTTGCTCACTTATTCAGCATAAGGCTCCAAAACACAAAACATAGAGAGTACAAAGGTAGGTATATAGGGTTATTATCTTACAGGTAAGAAAAATTAAGTTTTAAGTATTAACATCCTCTCCATTCTTCAGAGCCAGCAACCAACTGGCTCTAGAAATATGCTTCCTTACTTCTGTAGTTCACAGGATCTTTCTAGGCAACAGTGCCATGTCATATTTTTTTTGCTTTTGTTGGTATGGGATAGTAACATGTTTCTCTGCATTAAGCAAAAGTACTTCTTGAACATCTAATGTACATAAATTCAAGATACTTTTGGAGTTACATAAAATTATGTAGTCTCTTGAACAAACAAAAAAGGGTCATTTTGTGTAATCTTAAATAGAGTACTTAAATAGAGTACTAAATAGAAATAACAATTTTGAGTCTCCTAGGGCACATCAAGTCACAAGAGAAATATTGTTTTATTTGAATTAAGAAGAACCAAAACATATGCACATTTCAGAGTATGTTTTTCTTTGAATTCTACATACATAAGATTGAACAACTAATGTGCTGAGAAAATTAAAGTAAGTCATAAGATAGCAATCTCTGGTTCAAAATTCAGCTCTTAAAAACTGTTAGCACTTGTAAGATTAAGTTTCAAATGTGTTAGGGTAACATTTCATAAAAGCAAAACTTTTCCTAACCATTCAGAGTTGAGAAAAGCCTCCCTTCTCTTCACAAGAAATGTAACATAAGTTAATTAAATTACAGAAATTTAAATAGTTTTAAAAGCATTCTGCAATAACAAATTCAATATTTTACCTGAAACTTTCTACACATATCACCAAGTGACAAGACATTTTTTGTATATATTGGAAATTCTCACCCACCTCATTTACACAGTCCTTCTGTGGGCAACAGCAGCAGTGAGAATTTATGACGACAAACACTGAGCAAAAATCTTTTCTTGTAAAATCCATCAGAAAGGACAGCAAAATAGATGTTACAGTTATAGGAAAACGATGGGGGAAATGGATGAGATGTAAATTAACAAAGTAAATTAGCCTACAGCATAAATCAGGCAGACATCAAAGTCAGACTGCAGTATAGTTTCTTGTTTAACACCAGTCATCCTTCCCCAACTGTTAGACATGAGTTTACCCTGCTTAGTCAATAATCTAATTATTAAAGATCAAACCTTTAAATAAAACTACATGCTGAATAGCAGGAAAACTGTTTTGCTGCTATTCTTCCTACTTCTCCTCAACAGCAACAGATTCCTGGGCAAGCAAATGAGATTTTTTTTTTACTTGATCAAAGCCCCGCCCATCATAGTCAAAGGTCCTGCCTCTGAGTTCAAAACCCAACTAGAAATCTATCTATAAATACTCTTTCTTCCCCTAATCATGTTCAAACTGTGCTTTTAAAATAAAATGAGGATTGAGTTCAATGACCAAAATGTAAATTCAGAGTATGTAGCCAAAAGAACACTGGACAAGGAAATCACAATACTGGGGCTGGGGTCTCAGTTCAGCCTCTCATAATACCAAGTCTGTGTGACCTGAACCATATGCTTTCAACTCACTTGAAAGGTAGGGCAACAGATCCTCTGTTTACTTAATTTAAGGTAAACTGTTTTAGCACTGTCTTGTGGTACATTAAAACAAACAGAATAGCTGTGGATTAGGTACACAGAGGTGTTAAGAATTTCTTCTCCT